ATTTCCTGCAATATATCCCTGGATGACGCCAGGAATAACTTGCCATTCCATTCCCCCACGATCATTGTCAATGGATCCTTCCATCGGCCCATATAACTTTCCTCGAGTCAAGGACCTCTGATCTCGGAAGACCATGGGTCGGCCCGAAACCTACACCACTCCACTGAAATCCATATGATGTCCCTCGGGAGTTCTAGGACATGGCCTTAGATCAAGGTACTAGTAGAAGAAGAGAGATATTCAAGTTCTGTCTGAAAATCTATGTTTACTACCTGGGGGTCTCATAGCCTCCTAAGGTACAAGGTCAAGCATCACAACTACGTATGTCGAGTGCTTCGGACTTTTGTTTCTGTCGTAATAAGGAAAAGGGTAGAATAAATGCTCCTAAAGTGTTGATCTCTCTTACAATTGATGGTGTATTACCCCAATACTCCTCCATAGCCACCACTTGGTCTTATGAAGTCCTAGAGTAATATCAAACACCTACTTCGACTAACATAGTACTGTCCCTCTTCAATTTCTGAAATACTAGATCATCTAGCAGATTAAATATCTCTCCTGTACCCCTGTCTGAAAGCCTTAGGCTCAGAACCTAGAGGTGAATTCGCACTCGTTTCATTCTTCCCGCCCCTAAGGGGAACCGTTTGGAGCTTTTCAAGAGTCGCATAATCCTTCAACCGTATTTCCTATAATATCATTAGGGAAAATTCACATCTTTTCGGGGCTTGAGTATCCCTACTTCGTGTGACTGATTTGAGGATTCTGGTGAAAGGCTTATACTGAGGTATCGATTCTGGGTCGTAGAATTCGCTTCGATTTCTTCCTTGAAAAATTGTCTGTCAAGTATTCAATTTGTGTTAGCTAGCTACTCAAGAACATAGGTTTCATTCCGAGGTCGTCGAACTAATGGGCTCTTGTAATGATTGTACTGATAGAAACTCCGACGCATAGTAAAAGGCAAGGGTGAAAAAAAAAGGGAAAGCAGATAAAATACAGAAGGCACATAGTAATGAAGGTTTCTTGGTGTCAAAATAAAGAGCAAAGAATCACCTATTCGAACCTACCGCCGGGGACTATTGCTCAAATGAGCAAAGGGCACGGTTCTCTCAGCTTTAGACCCAAAAAGGCTTGGCTGACTTCGGGGCTTGTTTGAACTACCAGATGAAGCCGCGCCTGTGCTGGGAGCTGTAGTCGGACCGAATAGCGATGATGCAGATGGACTAGGTGTGGCTCCTGTTTGGAACAGAGAGCCAGAGCCAGAGAAGAAGCCAGAGCTATTGCTAAATAGGTTGCCACGAGGCTCGGGACTAAGGCCTTGTGTCCCACCAGTGACAGGTTGTGAGTCTTCCAGGTTACCAAAAGGGCTTCTTGTGGTACCGGTACTCTTGTTCGCGGTAGACCCTGTCATAGGGGATAGAGTTCCGAACGGCCCTGGCGCAAATAAGTTGGGGCCCGAGCTAGTATTAGTAGGCTGAGAAGTCGATGCTGAGCTTGCCGCCCTAGGAGTGATGGCTTTACGGGCTAGTTTAGATCAGCTCAGGTTCCCTTCAGTAAAATAGAACGACTTACGCGACTTAGCCCGAGTAGTTGAGTTGACAACAGCGGGCTTTGTAGTGACCTTCCGGATATTGAATCTGCTCAATGTGCGCGAACCAGCTTGTAGCTTCTCCAATTCCCGAGTTAGGCGTTCTCGCTCATCCACGACAGAGGAAGACTCGGTGGCAATGTCCTGAACCTGTTTGTCTTCCATGTTGTTGACTGTCTGGCTAGTAAGAATGCTACTCAGAGGACCAAGCAGACAATTTTCAATTCCAAGCGTGGCAACGTTATCAATGAAAGTGATGATTGCAGTCTGTTACTATTAGTACTCTCCCAAATTCGGTTTATTGTCGACTTATCAATATGTGGGTTGATGCGGACTCACATCATAATATGCTTGCATCTGATCAACAATGTCTGCCGCTGCAAACTGATTGCTTGTCGATTCTAGCTGGCTATTGGCTTGACGAAGCCGCTCAATGGTAGTGGACTCATCTTCGGAATGAGACCCTAATTTCAAGGCCTGTTCCAACCTATCGATTTGGCGGTCACTCCTGGCTTTCTGGATTTTCGTGAGAAAGCTTTTGCCTAGAGGCAATGGATGTCCTCGTTTATTGTATGCGGTAAGCTCATCCAGTTTTGCCAGTAGATGATCTTTCATTTTCTCCAGCTCAGGATCAAGAATGGTACCTAGTAAGAGATTGTAGGTGTGGTCATTGGCGAGATATTGCAGGAGAAGGCTGATGAAATCTCTAACAGACTCCCAAGAATTTGTCAAATGCTCTCGAGCGATTTCTTCCCACGGCTTGGATTGATCTCGAAACAGCTTTCCCACCAAAAGTTGATTGGCACTTCCTGGAAGCTCAATTCCTCGGTTTTGGCGCGCTTGTATGCTGACTTCATGTTCAATATCGGATCTGCGCCTGAGGTTCGGTGTTCTGATATGCGTGTAGGGATTTTCAGACGCGGGACTCATTTTCGAATTAGACTCGCCAATTAGTTGGCCGCATCCGATAGTGTTCATAGCATCAGCGAAATATTCGTTTAGTTCACGAATGACGGCACGTAGACGCCGAAGATCTTGATCGAGAGGCCCTGTTTCGTTGTCCAATCCGCCAAAGAAATCATCTGTGTACATGCCATCTAATGCTTGGGCGGTGATACGCTCGAAGTTGCTGCTGATGTTGAGCAAAAATCCCTTCTGTTGCTGGAGAGTACCTCGGGGCGGTCCCAGTTTGCTCAGTCTGGATTGTCGATCGAGGACCTTTTCCTGGATATCAACGATGAGACCCGGGAGATTGCGTTGGATATGTTTCAACAGAATTGAACTTAGTCGACGTCGAAAATTGTCAATTCCCACATATTCCGCCGGAATAGAGCCCCAGTTTCCTTTAGCAAAGAATTCCTTCTCTTTCCTATCTCTTTCGTCGTCCGACGCTTTTCGAGTTTCAAAAGACCTGTTTCGTAACGCATGCCACCCGAGCTTTAACGGAACTTTCTCGTTCTTGAGAATCTGCAGCCAAGCCGCTTCTTCGTCGGAATGGGCTTCGAGTATGTCAGGCTGTGTGATAATTCCGATAGTACGCTCTCGGGGCCCATCGAATTTCTCTGCCATGTTCAAAACTCGCTGATTGTGGTAGTCATTCTTTGCCGAAACTACAGCCAGAATGATGCTGCGCTTGTTTTCCATGTAGCGTTCGGTGATACGATGAACGATGTCAATCCCTTGCTCATCCTGGGATGTGCTATGGGACGTATAGAGACCAGGCAGATCAACGAGTGTCAATTCCGGCTTGTCGGGGCCTGAGATTTCAACTTTAAGAATGTCGTCGCTGAATCCATCGCCAGTGATCCCCATGCATTCTTTGGCTTTCTCAATCAGAGACTCTAGCTGATTACCGTTGGTGACCTCAGCCGGTGAGAATGCTTCAATCTTCTGGCGCTCTCCTTTGCCCGTTCGAGATAACCCAGGTTCGATGGACACCTTGAACCGAGGTGCTGGATGGCGACGCAGAATAACCTCCGTCGGGAATCGAGTGCAGACATTACTCTTCATTGGAAAACGCACGCGAGAAACGGCCTCAAGAACAGAGCTTTTACCGCTGGATTGGTTTCCACAGACGATGAGCTGTGGCAACCCGACAAGTCCGCCGACTCCAATTGTGCGAAGATCATCGATCTTATCAAGAAGAGGACCTTGCTCCGTCTGCAGTTGATGGAGGGCGGTATCTACCTCGGTCGAGCCACCCATGGTGATTTTGATATCTTGATCAGACATCAGACAACTTGGGGATAATCTCAAATGATTTCCACTTGAAAGAGAGTAGAAATAAAGGAATTGTTATAGGGAATAAAGGAATTGTTATAGGGGATTGTTAATGCAAACCCCCTCTGCCCCCCCCAAATGAATGCCAATACCGCCTTCCCTATCGGGTGCGACACTGGATTCTGCCATGCTCTCTGCCGGTGTAGGGTTTTCTGCCATATATTCTGCCACCACTATAGGAATTCTGGTTTACATAGATTTCTGCCTAATTACTGCCTTGATACTCTACATATTGATTATCCTGCTTCTTATGCACTTCTCAGGCGCTTCCCCGCACGCCTTTTCCTCCAAGTCCACCTGGGCACGGTCGCGACTACGTCCTCATTCCTACGTAAGCAAGAATTCGATTCCCGAGGGTCCCTTTTTTTTGCCTGGGAAAAGAAGTGGGGCCGGTTATTATATGGGGAGTTTGTTTATATTTATTTATTTTAAGAAGGCGGTGTGGAGAGCGGTCAATAGACCCCTGAAAAATCAGGCAGGCGGTGTTGCATTAACAATCCCCTTATTATATTTCAAACTCCCGGAATTTGGGAATTTGGGGGCCACGTCCACATTCTTGCGGCGCAGTCACTTTGCATTGCTTCAAAGGCATCTAAGATATCTAGCTCATCGAATCCCTGCTCGGCCCCATTGTACTTGTATCATAGAGGGACGAACACCAATCAAATGGGTAGCCAGGGAAATTAGATATCCAGTCAATGGTCTAGGGTTAAAATAGTTCCAAAAAAAAAGCAAAAAAAGCAACCCCAGTCTGAATTCAGAGCAGGAAAATGGAGGTGTCGGCAAGATACAAGATAAGACGAGGTCACCCCTGTTTCAGATGGAGGTAGAGGAGGTAGATGGAGGCCAAGATATGAGGCTCTAACTCAATTCTATTCTATCATGACATACTACAGCAAGACAAGCCCAGAACAGACTAGCAACAATAAAAGATGCCAAAAATGCCAGAATTGATTTGATATCCAACTCCGGTAATGCGCTGATGCTGTGCAAACACGAAAGACCAAGCGTGGCTAATTCCAACTCGAAGACCAACAAAACTCCATACACGCTGCCAAAAATGCTCAAATCACACGCGCTCCTCGCGTGATGGAAAAAGAAAAATCGCAATACAAGAATAACAAAAGAATATAGCCTAATTTTTGATCGCCTTCCTCCGCAATACACCAAGTTGCTCCAGTTTGTCCCACGCTTTGTTCATATCAGAGCACTCATCGCCCAATGCGGGCCGAAGGGCTAGTCCGTCGAGGGTGTGGAGGGAGCCATTTGTACCAGCGTAGAGCAAAAGCTCTAGTACCCTTCGGCGCAGGCGCGTGGCTTGATCGAGATGCCTTAGGTATTTCACATCCGCGTGCGGGTCGGCGAGCGGGAGTGTGTATGGGTCGTCGACTTCGACATCTCTTTCTGTCTTCGGCTCGTCTCCCATGGTGGCGCGATGAGAGATCTGGTCGTCGTTTCCGAGTTCCGTTAGAGCATCAGAAAGATCCCGATGGGTTCCTTGGTGTCGGACGACTGCTTGTTCTTGGGACTTCAGTTTCTTGCGGTCGGGATTACCACTCCCAGTCACTGTCGGAGGGTAAAACCCAATAGTCAATGGGTTCCCACGGAGATCAAGCTTGCGTAAGGAACATGCAGTTCCTTTTCCGGTTTTTCCTAGTCGACTGAGGATTTGACACACCCTTCTCATCCTTGAGAGACGGTTACCAACGATCATCAGTCTAGCAAGACAATTCATTCCAACCAGTGGCTCAACATCGTCAACCGAGTTGAAATTCAAGTTCAGGACCTTGACATTCGGGAAGCTCAAAGCAAAGTCACTTGGGAGACTCTTCAATGTGCACGCAGCTAGATCAAGAAGTTGAATCCGTAGTAGCGGAGCAGAAGGGCAGACGCTTTGGTGGGAAAGCTTGTTCGAGGACAAAAAGACTTTACGAACATCCTTTACAACACCCAAATCAATATCCAGGCTGTGTTCAAGGTCATTTTCGTTTGACGGTGCCTGCTCTCGGAGAGACAGTACCTCGAGATTGTGACAATTCTCAAGGCCAATGACGGTAGAAAGGTGGTTTTGATCGAGGTAGAGAAGGCTGACAGAAGGGAAAGCTCGTGCATCCAAAGTCTCCAATTTATTTTCAGAGAGTTTCAGGGCGCGAAGACTGATAAGGGATGCAGAGGAGTCAAAACGGCTAATCTGGTTGGCGCTAAGATCGAGAGTGGCAAGTGACGGAAGCCATTCGACATTCCGAACTGATGTGAGACAGTTGTGGCTCAAATCAAGATCACGAAGGCGTGTCAACTCGGATCCTTCAAAATCCACTGCGGTAATGGAGTTGTTGCTCAGCTTCAGGCTTAGCAGGCCATTCAGATCAAGAATCCCGTCGATATTGCGGATCTGATTGTCATTTGCCTTCAATTCCCTGAGATGAATCAGGTTCGCGAAGCCATCCAACGTCTCGATATCGTTACCTGAAACGTCCAAATACTGCAAATTGACCATGTGACTCCAGGGAGTCAGGTTAGAGAGACAATTTCTAGGGATCTTGAGGGTTCTCAGGGTTGAGGGGATGCCACTCAATTGGCCAATGTCGTTATCAGAAACATCCAACTCCTCTAGTCGGGGGCAGAATTCGTTTAGCTTGTGCAGAGTAATTAATCCCTTCTGGCGCAAGACAAGGCGGCGCACGTGTTCCCAATAAGGCTCATATGGTTCCACGTCTGTAATATGTTTGATCAAATCTTCAGTTGCAAGTGCGAATGTCCCGTGCACTTGTCGCAAGGAGGAGGGGTTTGTACGTTGGGCCACATAGCTCATTTCAAGCTTCAGGGGTTTGTCGCCTTGGTTGACGGTGAAGTCCGGAAGTGGACTGAGGTGGAAGCTATAGCTCGTGTCGGGCCCGGCGCTCTGGAGAGGTATCAAAGAATGCTCTGCCTCGGTTCTGGCGGGCGTTTCTTGGACATGCAGGGAATCATTCCTGCGGACCAGGCTTTGGTCGTTAACAGTGTCCTCATTCCTTTCCTCAATCCTCGAGATAGGACGTCGAATGAACGGCTGTCCGCCGACTGAAGTTTGGCGCCCCGTGGGAGGAACGGATGACCGTATCGAGCCATTATTTTCGAGGTCTACTGGGGCTGCACCTTCGTCTGTCACAATCCCATGGTAGGTATGGTTCACGTTCGGGTCAGGTTGGGCGTCATCGGGCTCGCCGCGAGAAGAGGGGCGTGAAACAAGAGGTGATGAGAGATTCAGTGTCGCGACGCGTGCTTGTTTTCCAAGGGATCGGGGGTCTTCGAAGACAACGGTTCCTCTCGCTGGGCTTCCGGTTTTCCTTGCTCGGAGATTTTCCTTTCTGCAGCCTCGTCCGTACCCCATGATGTAGCTCTTGTCCCAGTGTTAGGAACACTAGACGTAAAGCGAGTGAATCTTGATTGGACAGAGCTTGCACCGAGAGATGGTTCTCCGTCCCTCGTGTGTGGCCGAACATCAGGTTTCTTCGGGGATGTGTTCGCAGCCAAAGGGCTGCGGGCCTTAATCTGCTCTCGATCAGCGGGAGCGTCGCTCTTTGTAGGAGAACTGAGGCCATGGACTCTCATCATCTCCTGGAGCTCGTCTACACTCAGATCCGGAATATCTCTGAATGGGTCATCGGTCTCCTCCACTGGTTCAGATATTGGTGCCTGTGGTTCTTCCACGTCATCTTTCACCCATTGATTCTTCGAGCGGTCATACTTGAAGCCATTGACCTCATTTGGGATTAGGTGGGCTACAAGGTCAGAAGCCAGCATACCCTTGACTTGGGAGCTTTGCGAAGAGCCGGTGGGCGCAGAGGCGACGCTAAAGCCAGACATTTGTGTGTTGATAGTCATCAGATCCTGGGCAATGTTTTCCGCCGTGTCATCAGTCATGCCACTAGTCTTTCGTTTCCTCGGCCCATGAATTCGGATATTCTGTGAGCTGGATTCACCGAGCTCGGTTTTGCCCTCGTCATGGCTATGCCGAGCATGCAGGGACATTTCCCGGTCATTCGGATCATCTTGCTCCTGGTATTTTTTCAGGTGACTCAAGATCAGTGGGTTCAACTCCTTCACCTCTCTCAATTGGCGAAGATCCGTTCCGTCACGGCTCGGGGGCCGAGAAAAGGCTTCCCGGGTGGATTCATCGTCATCGCTGAACTCGTCCCCTTCACTTTCCACATCAGACTCATGTACGCTTGTCAATCCAGCCGCACCTCGTCCTTTGGATCTGATTAGATCCATGATCTTGGTGGCCTCATTTAAATAATCCTGAGTCGTGATAGATCCTTTTCGTGATGTATCGCTGGTCCCAGTGATCTTCACTAGTGGAACGTCACCATCAAGGGAAAAAGAATCCGAATAATCGTTATTTTCGAAGTTGGATTCGGAAAAATTTCTGTGTGGTGCAACATGGCTTTCCCCGTCTGTTCGTATTTGGCTTGGTGTAGGTGTTCGAGGTCGCTGCCTCGATTGAGAAAGGCCTGGCGGAGCAAGATAGTCGCTATTTTCGAGCTGCACACCATGTTGCATAAGGCTTCGTTGTAACAGCGACATGCTGTCGCCATACTTCTGAGGCGAGCCGCCCTTGGCACTGTGATAGTGATCGGCGCTGTTGTTTCTCATGATTGTTCGGCGCCGTTTGGGAGTGGGGTCCATGCCGGGGGCCCGGGGGACTCGCTTCACATCAGGGGCCATATTTTCCTTGTTGTTCGCACGAGTCCCGTGCCGCACATCATCAAAGAAATCCTGGCGCATCCAAGCAGATGGTTTCCTGGTGAATCCCGAGCTCGCAGATCTACTGTAATGATATAACCCATGCTGTGAGGGGCCACGGAGCAATTGTTGCCGAGTTGACGATCGCTTACGTGAAGACGGGCGTGACCCAAATCCTCCGGCCTCATCATACACCAATTTGGGCTCGTAAGGGCTGGTATCTGAGAAATCAAATTTGTCCAACTCGCCACCCCCGAATTGGCTGATCCGATGTACAGCATTACGGGATCCAAGACGTTCGTTTCGTCTAGGGGAGATCTCCTGCAATGGTTCATGTCTCGCATTTAAAAAGCTGCGGTTTTCGCCTTTTCTTCGTGCTTCTTCTGAGGGCGAGGGGGGCTCCTCTCCTTCTGAAGTGTCGCTGAAATTGTCTTCAAACTGGCTCATGCGCCGGAGAAGTCTGTTATTAGTGAAGGTATCATGGTCACCGAATAGCTTCAATGGACTTCCCGATGACGGCATCTTGGCCTCATTCTCTGCTCCAGCCGTGGATGGCCGAACATGAGACGAGGAAGGACGCGGTAGACCAGGTGACGCGGTCTTGTTAGGGGGGTTGAACAAGGGGGAACTTCGGATTTTAGAGTTGGCGAGAGTTGTGGGGGACAAACGGTGCGAGGGAAAGGGTGAAGGGGAGAATCGCCGAGGGAAGGAGCGGTTTCCTCGCCGACTGTTGAAGTCCACCGTCCCCATAGACAGATCCTGGGGTAGAGAATGACTTGTCACGTCCAGTAAGCTGTCATCTCGTGGAGACCCATCCGCGTGGGGTTCACTATTGTTGTAGAAGAGGAAGCTATCGCTTGCGGGGGAGTCCGGGCGACTATCATCTTTGATAGACAGGCTTTCCAGCTTGTTGGTGACCTGCTTCAGCGCAGATTTAATGACTTCTGAAGTCCCATTTCCATCAACCGTGTTGTTGCGGGAGAAGGTTATGGGTGTGATCCCCTCGTTGCGCAGATCCTCCAGCCCACTAGCTGTCCGTAGCTGGGTATTCCCCGCTTGTGAGAACCCTTCCTGGTCCCAGACCACATCCAGGCGCCCGTTATTCTCCCAATGAGGGCGATTGACGGTTCCTTCCGGCGATCGGTCGCTAGTATCCCTTTCCTCCTCATTCACGACGCGTGCGTCATCGTCGTGATTGTTGTTCTCGTCTCCATCCTGTCGCGAAGGTGTGTCGGCGAAATCCCACAGATGGTCGTCCTGCTTCGTAAACGGGGTAGAGCCTACTTGCGCCGTTGCAGCACCAGGTGTAGGCGGTTTAAATACGCTTTCAAGTCCCATCGGTGCGAACAGGTCCCGTGGTTCGCCAGCGGCGATTTCCCCGCGCACTAGTCGCCTGCGCCATTCTGGTGTACCCTCTTTTGTGTCCTTGCCCTTCTTCGATTTGATCTGAACTGTACCGTCGAATTCGGATTGTGTGGAGGCTTTGGAGACGTTTGACACCGATCGTAGAGGGGAGCGCGTATCCATTGAGGGCTGCCTGCGAGCCGCACCCGGGGTGGGCTTGGGGCTGACCTTTGGACTTTTGGTGTAGGTCTTTGGGTTGGTCTTGGGAGTACTGGGTTTCAAACTACCCGGGGCAGGCGATCGTGGTTTGCGCGTTTTGGGTGTTCGAGGCGTCTTTGGAGTCGGAGGTTCTCTTCTATGGAAATGACATGGTCGGGTCACTTTATCCTTTTTGTTGCTTCCCGGGGATTGTTGTTCTAAGGAACGGCGGGCAGGCACAGGAATGCGACTAGGGGTCCCCTGCTGACTGGTTTTAGGCGACTCTGGTAGAATAGGTATTGGACTGCTGGGGGAAGCTGGAGATGGCCAGTCGTCTGACAGACTATCCAGCCATGGTTGGTTGCTCATTTTCAACCTTTATTATTATGCCGGTACGCGTTCCGGGTCCAAACAAAACAATTTCACACCCACACCAACATGGAAAGGCATAGATCGGAGCTAATAAAAGATAAATAAGAAGAACGGTGGGTTGAACAGTGCGGAGATGCGGTGTCCAGTGTATCTCCACTTAACTTGGGAAAGCTCCAGGGCCAGGGCTCCCTTGTTTATTATCTTTTTTTTTTGTTTACCTTTTTTTGGCCGTCCAGATCAAGATTCTATTTATTCTACTAATATAATATCATATCTATATTTTTAAGATCTATCAATTCTATATTTCACCCTAGTTTCTATTATTATTATGGTTTTTTTTTTTTTTTTTTTTCTGGGGAAAAAAATATACTAAAATGTCTCTGAACCCCCCAGATTCAAGCCAAAAACTATTGAGGCCCTTTTGAGGCCTAGTTAATATGTTGGGTAGTACTTAGTTCTCTTTTGTTGTTTACTTGATATCATACACAAGGACTGGTTGAATCGATTTAATATCATGTTCCATATAATAATTTGGAGGGGGAGGTCTAACATGGTAGAATAATATTCTGTAACTAGTTCGTTGGTCCCACTTGTATATATATCTCTGTATCTGCAAGGCTTGATCGTCAACTACCAAAACCACCAAAATAGATTGACCCTCCAAAATTCCAATGTTAGGTCGAATATTGATACTTACATATTTTAACACGCGCAAGGGTGATATATCGTTCTTCGTTCCACAGAAATAAATAATTGAAATACTGTGTGGGAACCTAAATAGTATGTATTGTTCGTGTCTAACTCCTAGGATATTGTCTCCCTCAATAATGAATGTTACAGTATAAAATATGAAATGCACATGGTTTTTAAATAATCAGTCTCTCGAATGAGTACTTGCCAACCGCCTTGCGGCGCAAATAACCAATCTCACGGCTGGTGCGGTTCTTGACCTCACCCGTCGACTTTTTGGTCTTGGTGCGGGACACGTCATTGGAAGCAGCCTTGAGTGACAGTGGTAACATCTTGCCACCAGCATCGCCATCGTAGCCATCCTCTCCCTCACCGGGACGGGTGAAGACCATCAAGTCGGCGCCATTGAGTTTCTCGTAGCGAACTAGGTGGGACGGACCGGACGCCTCGGCATCCATCTTGGCTAGGGCATCCTCAGAGGTAGTAGCGGGGGTGTCGACTTGGTCCGCAAAGCGGAGGTATTCGCATAAAACGCCCTTGAGATAAGTAGCCTCTTCCACTCCTGCAAGAGCGGCCGAGACTTCAGACTTCATGTCTGCAATCAATTCCATTTCGCGACTAGCAGCGGCAGTGACCGAGTCTGAGTCTTCAAAGTCACCCGCTGCTGGGATGGCCGAGATCCAACCGGACGGACCCACAGCATCCACAGAGGCAGTGATGAGATCAATGATAACATTGAGAGAAAGGGCGGGAGTAATTTGGTCAAGAGTAATAGGTGTTGGGGGTTTTCAGTGAACCGGGAAGTGTAACCTCCGGTAGCGAGGGAAAGGCGGAGATGGTGAACCATAGAAATGAGCTCTGTCCGGGAGAGATTGGAGCGGAGGGAATGAACGACGACTGACACGGGCTGCGAGTGAATCTTTTGGAGGGATGTGTTTAGGCCAGCGAAGATATCCTTCAGGGTTGCCGTCTCGGCCCCCAGCTGTTTTGAAAGTTCCTGGGTGGGAGTGGCAAGATCACCATTGGTGATCGCGCGAGCTGTCTCCTCAAGAGTTCCAGAGTGGGAACGTGCCTGGTTCAAGAAGGTCTTGAGCGCGTAGGCCAACTCATCGGAGGAAATCAGAGTGGGACCCTCAAGAACTTGGTTGACCTGCTTCAATGAGGGATCTGAATCGAGCAGGGCCTGAATGAATGATCCGGTGGGGAATGACTGCAAGATGCGTGGCTTGCATGCACGACGGAGCGCAATCTCAACGTTGTCGAGCGACAGATGCCCCAAGCGAATGAGCCAGTCGCAAGTAGTCGGGGGCCACATGGCAACACGGAGTTGAAATGAGGGGGATGCCGACACGGTATCGTCTGTGGCAGACTCTTCTACAGCGAAGATTTTTGAAAGCAAGAAAAGAGTTGCTTCGGGGTTAACATATTGCCCGCGGACCGGGAGCGTTGTGGAGGCATCGGAAGTGCTGAAGTATGTCAGAACAGCATTATCGAACAAGTCAATGTTCTTCGTCTTGGTCGCCTTCTCCACTGTTTTCGTGAGCTGAGTCCATTTCTCAACTTGCTCCGGTGATGTGAGCCGAAGGGAGGCCATGTTGTCAGTTCGATGCTTCTTCGATGCGATATCCCACTGGGCACCGGATGAACCGATACCTCTGCCGATGGCATCGATGAGAAGACTATCTCTGGTCCGCTTCAGTGAAGAGCTGGGGGCACTAGGAAGAGAGCTCAAGTCAAAGGCAATAAGAGTGTTGCCCTTAGTTGCGACAGCAATGCCAAGTTTGGCGAAGTAGCTGATGAAGTTCGTGGGAGTCTCTGGGGTTGACCCAGTGCTCGACAAAAGATCACCAGACGGAATACTGCGCTGTACAGAATGGTATTGGGTATCATACACCGCCACTAGAGATTGTTGTGCCCCAATCACGGATTGGGGAGAGATGCGCATGACAGAGGAGAATTCCTCATCATCAAGGACGAATTGCGATGTGACACAGGGAGAGTACTGAGAGAGGTCAACATTGATGAAACCCTTCTCGAAAGAAAGGTTCAACCCTGCCGAACCAGAATGGAAGCTCCATTGCATAGCATTGCCGTCGGTGGTTTCAAGGCCGCTCACATCCGGGATGTGGAAAGTTTGTAGATGGCGAAGGCGCTGACTTTCGTCCAACCGCGACTCTGACTTCGCGTGCGCTGGGACTGAGAACATCTGCACAATAATGTCCTTGAGGGAGACCCGATCGGTGTTCTTGGGTTGCGATACCAGAAGCAATATAGATGGCTCGTTGGTTCCTGAGGTTGTCAGATCGCCGAGTGCCAGTAAAGCCAAATCCTGTCGTCTTTTGAACAAAGCTTTCTTCGCATCATCGAATTCAACCAAAAAGCTGGACTGGACATTGTGAGTAGAGCAAACCTTTGCAATCTCACTGTGCTGAATACTCCACCGTTGGGTCTTCAGATCCGAAGACAGCCTACGCACACGACCATCCTCGTGGACTGCCAGGATATCGAATGGGTCCGTCTCTCCTTCGGCATCGGTACTAGAGGGAACAATTCCCACAAAAGTTGTGGGGCTGGTCGAGTCGGTCACGGTGGTAGTGGAAGAAGAAATGACTGGAGCACTTGAACCGCTGCTGCCGATCTCCTCCACAAAGCACTTGATTTGATGTTCTGGCTTAGTGACAGCAGTATAAGTTTGTCTTCGGACTGTCGATTTTTTCGACAACTTCCGGCGAACTGAGCATGGGCGGCAAGAGAAAGTAGATTGCGGTGGGACGGCGTAGGAAGTCACGAGCTTAGGTGTTTGGACCTGGTGAAGATTAGACTCTAGTCAGATACAGCCAAAAGAACACAACCGAAGTAGAAAACATACATTGTAAATGTTCACAGCCTCGCCATCCACAGCAACTGCGACTTCATAACGCTTGCGTTTTTTCGCATCGGCGAGACTGAAGACATCGCCGATACGGGTTTTGCCAGTAGAAGCATGAAGGGGGCGAGGCAATTGCGCCAGCACAGATGGGGACTGTAAATCCATGACGAAATGAATCCCAGGAATCAAAAATGGCTTGAGTTCCTGTCCCTTCAAAGCGTGGGATCTTTTTGATGCAGACCCATCCAATTTGGAAATCTGAAAAATTTTCGGGATTACATCGGGCCGGCCTATCCACCACTAGGCCATATCAGGACTAGCGTTGGTCTGTGAAGCAGTCAGCCTGACATAAGCCATTAACGCGCCTTTCGCGTCGGACGTGTTTGAAGCTATAGGGATCGACCTTGAATTGATTCTTATTTCATGCAATCCCTCCACACTTACCACCAATATCCTGTCATTTCAATGCTATATCTGAGATACTGTTTGCTCCCTGGTCTCTCTTCAGGGATCAACTGATTGTTCATCACATGAACATCGTATCAAATCTACCGATGGCTATGGGAACCGACGAACCGCAAGTCATACATCCCTTCTTTCGACAAGGTCAGAATGTGTCCCATAGCCGCAGGTGACTCTGAGCTTACAATTTCTAGAATTCGGTGTCTCAGCCAAATCTACACCCTCAAACGAGCCAATCTCGCCCGCGAATACCCACGTACATGAGCTTCGACCGATAAGCAGCCAAAGCTCTACGCATGAGCAGGGGCTCCAGCCCCCGGAGAATCACCATCCAAATGTCCAAAAAATTCACAGGGAGAGTTCTGTGGATCTCGTCGAAGACTTGAATGAGGATCGGAGGAAGAGGCGAAGGACGGACAAAGCCCAAACCATCGAACCCACCACTACTTCCAGTATTGGTCTCTCAGACTGCCTCGACCCTAGCGTGACCAACAGTACGATTTTGTCAACTGATCGTCCTCACGAAACCGAAGGTAATTTCTCTCTACCTCACACCGAGGATCCGCTGGCGGAGACCCAACTTCCTGCAGATGAAACTCCGCCAATGGCACCTGCCGAGAACGAGAAACCAGAGGGTCCAGTTGGAAGAACCTCTGCAAGACAAAAAACTCTCAGACTAAATTCGAAGGGAGGGTTCCTGTCGTCACCCGCTTCCAGTCCTCCACGAGAGACAAAAAGAGAGCGACAGGGAAACGGGGAAGGCCTCGGAAGGTTGAGCGCAAGGTGGTGACAATCAGGTATAGCATCGACAAAGAAAAAAATATCGGGAAATTGGTCGACGATATCCTAGATGGCCGAGCGGTTCAAAAGCCCCCTGCCACTGTACCCACTGTACCCTCTGTTCAGCCGCCCAAGGCGAAAAGCCAACCTCGAAAGCCCACACACCCGTTCTTCAGCAAGAAATCAGCACAGAAACCCGGTCCTACGAGTTTGAATGGATCCCAATCGGACAATTCAGATATCAGCGCGAGCGTGCTCCCAAGCCAAACCACAGCTGTGGCCCCGGACAAGAAGCGGATAGTAGCAGCTTCAGGAAGTTCGTTTGCTAGCTTTCCCCGTCGTGTCTCTAAGTTCGCCGAACTGCTTGATCCCCTTTGGCCACCGCAAGATCTTGTGCATGTCAGAGACGTTCACTCACCCCCAGATGTTAATGATCGTGTCTGGCATACTACCCAGGACCGAAAAAAATCCAAGGTCGCGGCTATCTCAATTAGAGACGAAGAAAACGTCCTTCTGGTTGGAACAGCTGAAGCCAGGAGGATCGCTCGCCTGTCCAAGCAGGACTACGATGCTTTAACTATTCTTCGGCATCCCGTACGACATGTTGCTAGCAGTCAAGTCTTGCATACAGCAATGGAAAGACAGATGTCGTGGTCCTCACCAAACCGCCAATATCCTTGGAATTCTTCTAGTCCACCTCTTGCCAGACTTCGATCAGCCCTACTCACATCAGTTTCAGCTTTCGATCGTGCAACCTACGAACCGCATCTTTGGACACACAAGTACGCCCCACAGTCAGCCGAAGACGTCTTGCAGCTTGGCCGTGAACCACAGATGCTTCGAGACTGGCTACGGCACCTCAAGATCACAGCAGTGGACACCGGAAAATCATCGAAGGACAATGCGAAATCGAAATCGAAGCGAGAGAAAAAGGCGAAAAAGCGCCAGAAAGCTGACAAACTCGATGGCTTCGTTGTGTCAAGCGAAGAGGAGGCTTCTGAGATGGACAATTTCTCTGGCTCAGATGACGAGTTAGCGGGCGGCGTGACCACAACACCTCAACGGACAGTCGTTAGGTCGGGTGACATAGCATCTGGTTTACATGGAGCAGAAAGAAAGATCCCAATGACCAATGCGATTCTTCTTAGCGGCCCGGCTGGCTCTGGCAAAACCGCTTCTGTCTATGCCGTTGCAAAAGAGCTTGATTTTGAGGTTTTCGAGATAAACGCTGGAAGCCGACGAAGTGCCCGAGATATGCTGGAGCGAGTCGGAGATATGACGCAAAATCATCTTGTTCATCTCCTCAACGAATCCGAGAATGCAACATACAACGACAAGGATGCCGCTAAGCAAAACAAACTGAAGAGCTTTTTCAAAGGCACATCCTCGAAAGCTAGCAAATCAGCCCCCCAGTCTGGCGAACCTAAGCCCGAAACTGCGCCCAAACGCCCCCGGGAGCAAAAACAGTCTTTGATCCTACTCGAAGAAGCCGACATCCTTTTCGATGAAGATCGGCAATTCTGGACTGGCGTTTTGACTCTCATCAGTCAATCTAAGCGACCGATCGTCATCACCTGCAACGATGAGAGTTTAATCCCTACTCAGGATATGTCTCTTCATGCCATATTGCGATACCGCAAGCCTGCTCATGACTTTAGCATCGATTACCTGCTTTTGGTTGCCGCCAACGAGGGGCATATGTTAAAGCGAGAGGCTGTCACCAGACTTTATCAAGGATCCGGAATGGATCTTCGGAAGTCGTTGATGGATCTGAACTTCTGGTGCCAGATGGGTGTCGGTAGCGAGAAAGCAGGTTTGGATTGGCTGCTTCCTAGTTGGCCACCTGGGTCAAACGTGGATCATGATGGGGATCGACTTCGTGTTTTGAGCCTCAACACCTACGAGCGATATATGGGCTGGTTCAATCGTGATATGGTTGTGACCCAAGGTTCGTTGGATGAAGAGACGGAAATCATCCGCAACAGTTTCCAATCGTGGGGTGTCGGCCTGCAAGATTCCGAAGACATGGCTGGGAAGAATGAAATCGAACTTCTGTCTCCTGATCAACTTCAGTCTATTCCCAAGCCAACGCAGCTTGACATCCTGTGCCGGGAAGCGGATTACTATGACATGAGGAGTTCTCTCGACATACTTTGCTCCAATATCTCCTTGGACGCGAGCAATGTGAGTGTCATCGATATGTCTACCGAAACACTAGCTAATAATTGAACAGGATGCGATTGATATATCCGCCCCACCCCCGCCAGAAGGCTTTAAATCCAACTATCTTGACAATTACCCACTCCTGCACACAGAACTGCGAACGGAGTATTCCTCACTCAGTGAAACTGTCAGTGCTACCTTTGGTGCGTTGATAAGCCGAACTTTCCGTCCCACAACCGCCCAGGATTTGGAATCTTTATATGCCAACCGGGTCTTGAGCAAATCCATTGGCTCTGCAATGCCTCTGCAAACCCCTCCATCTACTCTTCCCCAATTTCAGCGCATCTTTGAACCCATCATGCGTGCCAACTACTCAAACCCTACACCAACAGCCCGCCATGCCCCTTCATTCGAGAATGGACTTGCGCCGATCACGGAAGATTTGGCCCCGTACATCCGCAGTATCATGGTCTTTGATGGTCGTCTCCAGCAATACCGCGAGAGGCTGTTTGCGCTCACAGCGCAGGAACATGGGCGCGGCGAGCAGCGTTCCCGCACGACCCGTGCTAGTCGTGCGGCTCTTGAAGGAGGTAGCAAAGCCTCAACGCGCAAGGAGAGGTGGTTCGCTCTAGACACACCTTACTATAAAGTGCAAGGCACTGCAGGGCCGGAGTGGCAGCATGTCTTGTTCCAGATGGGGTATTTCCATGTCCAACCTATGCTTGAGCCATCCCCCGAGTGCAGTGACCATGTCTTGGGTGATCAAGCCATGGAGACTGCGGAGTGATTGATATTATGTCTCGTGCACGACCCAGTGTATTATTTATGCGAACGATCTCAACGATATAGCTACCTGTTTCAGGATCTACGCCTGTACTATTTATTATTTACTATCTATACCAGATTTTTGCTTCCGAATAAAGACATTCGTATCTATAGTTCAAATCTACACGTGAATATTGCACCCAAGGTGTGAAAAGAAATGATTCGCTATTGTGCTATGGCTCAGATCGCTCGAAACTCATAAGAAAACATTGAAAGAGGATAAAAACCTCGGAAGGCAGTCCATAAGAAGAAGAATTGAAGACAGCGCCCCGACCAGCAGGAACCTAACAAGAGTTAGCCTCCAACTTCATTTTCGGTTCATAATCCTCTCAAAAATTACAAGAAACATAATCAAACCCCCGTACTGACTAGGCAACAACCCTAGAAGCCACGGGCTTGGGCACCTCCGGACTCGGGAACTGGGCAAGGTGATAGGGCCCATGATCCTGCTTGAAATCAAAGATCGACTCGCCAGAGCTACGTCGCGACTCAGAAGCATAGGGACGTCCATTCGATGGTGGTGCTCCCTCCGTGCCAAATCGCTGTGTCGCGTAGCGAGCGTAGAAGCCCGAGCTGCGTTTACGGTCTTCTAGGTCTTCACGATCATCGCGATTCATGCGCTTGCGGTAGAGGACTATCAGGACGATAATGGCGGTTATGATGATACTGCGATATAGTTAGTTCTGTCATGGTTGGGTGGTTCTCCATGGATGATAGATGTATATGTGAGGCCTGGAAAAAGGGTAATAATAACTAGTTAACTAACTAGTTAGTTATATTGATTGTACTTACATCCCTGATATCACAGCGGGAATGCCGATCGTCACTGCTGCGCTGGTGGGCTTTGTGCAGCTGGACATGGTTTCGTCGCCATTGCAATCGCGACGGAAGAGAGTAAGGAGTGTGGGGAGCATAGTGGATGTTCGTTATGGTCAATGTTTTAAAAGAGTGTATTTTATGAGAACCGGAAATAAAGGAGTGAAGGGGTTCTTTAGAAAGAAAGGATAGAAGGGAGAGTGTTGGATGAAATCTCCGAACAAGAACGAGTGAACCTGTGAACCTGTGTGAATTAATGAATTAACGAATTAATAGAATGTCTCAGAGAGAAAAATAGAAACAAACGACACAAACGGAGCTTCCTATCGGCTCTAATGACCCTGTTGATGTGCGGAGTTTCGTACAAAATTAAATTGGAGATGTTAAGACGAAAAGGGGGTGGCTTATATCCTGTTTTTAGTTGAAATATGGGGTTACATTCTGAATTCTCTATTTCTTTAAACGGATTTCTTTAACTGATTTAACGTTAATTAAGTTAATTAATCGATTAATATATGTATGTGCTTATTATATAGAAGATCCGTGGAGTTTCTCAATGATCTTCCTAAATACTACGTAGTATTAGCACCTCAGGGATTGTCAGTTCCACTATTTTGTCTACTTTGTCTATTTCAATCTATTCTTCTATTAGATATGTACTTTGTACACCAGATTCTCATTTATCAAACAGGTCTAGCAGTATCCAGCTTAGCCAAGGTCTCACTCTTACCCACCTCCTCACTCCACCTCTTGCGCGGTTGCTCAAAAGTCGACCCAATTCGACCATAAGAGATGCCCCCAAGTTGACCGACCGGCCGCAACTTCTCCAAGTCAATATGACTATAATCCTCATTGGCAGTGCCCTCCTTGACCCAGAACCGGGTAGCTTTGATGAGCACCGTAGCAGCGAGACTCATCCCAGGCTGTTGGTGATCCGTGAACTCCTTGATATCAATCACTTTGCCCTCAATGTTGAACACCGATTCAGCGACGCGGGAGGGCTTCACGGTAGTCGATGGCGCCTCATGCAGACCGGATACATCCCACTCTGACACGCCATACGGAGCATCAATAGAGGTCGCGTTCACTGCCTCGATCATGTTCTCCGACACTGTGTTGATCACACACTCCCCGGTCTCTCGGAGGTTACGGTATGTGTCTTTGACCCGGCTGGGTCGAGACGAGAATCCCACAATGAACATCGGGGGATCGTGGTCGATAACTTGGAAGTAACTGAATGGGGAAAGGTTCTTTTCACCCTTGGAATTCATGGTACTGAGGAATCCCACCGGTCGAGGCGCAATCCCCGAAACAAGGAGACGGTAGTTATTTATCATCGGCCGATCTGAGGCGTAGGGGTCGATTTCATGATGTTTTTCCGCTAGATTGGCTCGATTGTTGGGTACACCTTGCCCATACTCCCAGTTGGGATTTGGGGATTTTGTCACTTCAATGGGCTTAGAATGATCAAAGTCTGGTCGCCTGGCTTGCGTTTCGTCGAAATTGCCACTGTCTTGGATGATTTGGTAACTTTTTTGAGCTGCGGCGGTTTCAGCTTCTGATACCGCGGCCGTTGCAGTAGAACTCATTCTCAGTTGATTCAATGAATGAGAACCAATGCGAGATACAGAGATGGGAGTAAAATTCCAAGTCCTGGGTTCAAGGTTAGACCCTGGCTGGGCTGGCGAGCAAAGTTTGACATACTGGTTAGACATAAAGCGGCTAATTGTTCTTGTGCCAGTCATCATGGATCAGAAAAAGGTATATTTGGTAGAATGACGAGATTAATGCGATGGTGATGCTCATAAACCATTGAATACGATATCTCTTTTCGAGAGACCGAAAAAGTCGGGTACATCGGCCGATAATCGGGATCCCGATCCGATACCTTCACGGTATCTTTTGACCGAGTCGCCTTCAACAATAACCTCAACCCCGACTACCATTACTTTTTCATATTCAATCATGCTCAGCCGGAAGATATGCGCCGCTCTCAGCAGAACTCGACTTCTATCAAATCAACTTGCTCGAACTTCTAGCTATACTGCACGGGGCAAGTCTACATGGCACTGACAAAGTATCGTAAGGCCCATAACATTGCAGATAAGCCATGGCCAACATCGAACAACTTCATCCGTTCCCCTGGGAGCAGGTAAAAGAAAATATTGAGCATTACCCGAGCGCCTTGGATGTCGTATGGTGCCAAGATGAATCCCTCAATGATGGCCCATGGGCATTTGCTCGAAGCCGACTTGAGACTAATGATCTATTAACTCTCTCTAATATAGAAAGTCTACTTGTTCTGCAATTTTGAACCTCATGAATCCTCGTAAAAAGTCGTATAGTTCGTTGGCCTCAGATACTTGCGATATATCAAACCCCAACAGATTGCATTATCCCCTCCATATCCAATTGATCTGCAAGATCCAATAATTCTCGCGGGGGAAGACTGACGGACGAATTGAGTCCCAGTAGATCCCACTCAAATTCCTCGTGATCGAAGGCATAAGGTTCTTCGTTAATTTCATTAATTCCATCCATACTGACTTGCGGCAAATGGTGATTTGCCAATTTTGGCGTCAAAGGTGCGAGGATTTGCTCTAATTGCCTAAGTTCAAGCCTGCGAAGTGGTGCAGCTAGATTACCCTTTGAAATCAGTTTATCGAGCACTAGTGTCAGGTTGTCGCACCAAGTGTCATGCGAGATCACCGATGGGGCAATTGCACGGATTAAGTAGAGAACAAACGCAGAGGATGATGCATCCTCGACTTGAAACGGTAAAAATGCGTCTGTGGGCTGGAATTAGTATTAAGGTGTTTCAACACAGCTAGCAGACATACCCATCAAGTCATCATCAGCTAAAGTGCGAAGGGTCTGGAGGATAGTCTGGGCGGAATCGGCACAGCATTGTAACAGGGATGCAACAGGTGATGATAACCCAATCGTCTGAGATGTTTGTCTTTCTGTTCGTTCAATATGCATGTGGAGTGCGCACATCACTAGCGGTCTTGTTGTAAGTACCACACACTGCTACTGTTAGCTCATGGGGAGATTAATTGTTCGCAGGGAACCCACGTGATGGTGAGCCAGCATCAATCGAATGGCCATTTTCGAGGCACGGCTGATTAATCCGTGGAAATGAGCATTCAAAAACGCAGTCAAGTCGTATGAAAGTTCGGCAATGCTATGAAGAATGGATTGTGTGCTTCGAATGAGCGTGTCATCGAAATCGCCGTTGCCAACCCCGTAGACGGCTAGATTTTGTTAGCATTAAACCCAACGCCAATCGACCAAAAGACTCACTTGTCAGAATAGTGGCCATAAGCCGGGAAAGCCGAACATGCAGTGTCAAGTTAATTTGTTCAACTGAATCATCCATCTCTGCTGGTAATTTAACTGTGATATCCTCATCCCTAATCGAGCTGGGGGCACCGATTAAAGCGGAGAATTCTCGGTCCAACATATAAACCACCCAGAAGATTGTTCTGCATCGTTTGGAGAGCTCCGGTCCACATATCTCCTCTGGCACATGCCTGTGTATTCCTTCGATGATACAGCCTCGTAGGGCGTGCCCAATCTGTTCACACAATTAGATAGTTCAATAACAGTGAGACATGAGTAAACCCACATGTTGAAAGGCCGCTCTTCTCATATCTATTGACTGAAGATACACTGCCCCTAGGCTGAGTGCTTGGATACAGCCCAAAGGGTCTTCGTCAACTCCCGACAAATCGGGCAACAGAGCCATCGCCCGCGATGCATATTGATGACCAGGCGGTGTTCCAGAAGGGTTCCTCTGGATCAAGAACGCCTTTCCGAAGGCAAGAACAAGTAAGTATTGGCAGTACCAAGGTCTCTTGGAAGCAGCTTTCGCTGGAGGGTCCCGGTAGAATTCATGCAAGTCCTGCAAATAAGCAGGTTCATCAATCATAAAAGAAAGAAAGCCAAAATAGAACTTGACTGTGTTGAATAAGAAGAGTGCATAGTCCAACGGTGGTAGATTAGTGACGTCAGGTACTTCGTCTGGGGGATATGGTCGCCAGGTCAACTTGAAAGCCACGCCATCAATGTGAAATGGGTCTGGCGGACAGTTTGATTCAGGCACCTTTCTTCCTATCAAAGCAAGAACACGGCGACAAAATGACCACGACGATGTTGGCCCCATGTACCCTTCGATATCCGATATCCGGGTCAGTAATGAAGTAGCGTGATACAATAGACTAATTACTCACAAAATCGGCCATCTGGTGTCTGGGCAAAAGATGGATCCCGATCAACCAAAGGATTCTGGGCGAATCTTGATCGGTTATGGTCTTGCTCAGTACTACTGCTGGCCTCATGTTCTCTCTGAGGGGTCCCTGGGGTATGCAGGGGCGGCCCCATCCCTAGAAGAAAGCCACGATCAACACACCGAACACACATTCAGTGAATGGTTATAACATACCAATTGACATTGAACGCCATGCAATATCTTGTTGATTGTCTAGGAGGCTGCTAGATGCTTGAGGGGTCGGAGGAATATCGATATTATCATCACCTGTGAGCAGTGTACCTCTTAGAGGACTATGATCAAGAGGTGCCGGAAGCCCATGTCGCCCCGAGCTTGCGCTTCTGGATATATGCTCCTCTAGCTCTCGCAAGTACCTATTATGGATTAGCACGTACTTGTGCAGCCAGTTGGAGCGCTACCTACCGTTCTGACACGGAGACCCGGACCTCCTCCACCGGAAAGTGACAATGCTTTTTCTTCCGCGCACATCTTGTGCAAGGGCTGACCCCCGAGCATTTAACCTTCATTGATCGACATCTCTCACAGCTTTTTTTTTAAAAATAAAATGTAAGTTGTATATTCTACTTTCGGACGGATTGAAGATTCTAACTCACGCCTTCTGGCACTTTTTCGTTTTTCCCTGGCTAGGCGTTGCAGGCATACCGGATTAGGATACCGATATGATGTATAGAACAATTTTGAAGATTGTCTGTGCTACCGGGGCAACTCTCCGATATCAATAGCCTTGAAGAGTGCGGGGTAGAGATGGGAGAGCAGGTACAATCAGTCGGGATGAGCTTCCGACTTTTCTTATCGATAACAGCGCCTCCGATGTCGTCTATCACGAACTATCACATGATTGGTGAGACCCTAATGGGATTGACTTTGCCGTGATCTATTTGGCTTGGTGCACGGTTTGTGCATATCTACTGAGTTCCAATAGGTTGATTGGTTATCTTGTGCATTGGGTATCTAGCCACTAACCTCATCCGACGATCCTTCGCCACAACTCACGACGCAATGCGGTCACCATGTGTTGTGTTCGTTCCACTGCCCCGCGATTCTCGATTGCTCGGCGGTGCAGATATCCCATGCACTCAGCAACTGAACCCCAAGCCATGCATTTGAAAGCTTTTGGCACGGTCAGGTTGGCAGCAGATGATTGCTCGAGAGCACGTTCGTAGTTTTGCACCAGTTCACAACTGAGCTCGTCAGCCATGCCTTGAATTTGTCCACATTCCAACATGATTGTGGGTTGGTTGGCCATAAGCCTATTCTGGTGCGTGGTAATTGCTTTGGTTACACTAGCAGCGTTGTGGGTGGCGAGGAAAAGAGCGGCCTTGGGGAATGGAAGGCTCCCCTTCCCAGCAGGCATTCTTCGACAAAGTAAGGTGTCTGCAATGAGATCGTAAGACCGATCCGTATCCGCCTGTGTGTCATGAATAAGAGAGCGGGTCTCATGCTCAATATACGCCCCTCGGACCAATTTGATACCCAGAGACCAGCCCTCTTGCGCAGCCAACGTAAGATGGTGGTCAAGGTTCGCCTTTGATCCCTTGAGATAGCCCTGAATAGTGTTGTAAACGATTGGAGTTTCAGATTTGTTATGTTTGCGCATCACTTCAATGGCCCAATCATCAAGGCCATGTTGCAAGACTTGTTGCTCTGCATCCAACCAGAGACGTGAGCCCTGCTTTTCTGTCGCAATGCAAATCTCATCCATGGCTTTAACCAGAGCCTCTGGCATACTCTGGCATGCTGCCATTGCATCCACTGAAATGGGCCCGGCACCTGTCAATCTGGTAAAAGAATATCAGATTCCATAGGATGATAATTTCAAGGCTTCATACTTACTTCACGGCAAGGAAGTCGCCCGTCCCAACCATACGTAGTGTCTCCAATGTTCCCTCCTTCCACTCGTCAATCATCTGATAGCACTTTTCGCTATATTTTGATGTCCCAGACGCATCGGTCGAAAGCATTTCTTCCTGATCCAGCACTATCTCTTTTGAATACCCCAAGATGACGCCCTGATAACCCATCTTCTTAATGTCTGCCACGGTTTTCGAGACTTCTTTTCTGTTCACTCCAGCACAAAAGTGATTGTAGACCGTCCAGCGAAGAAACTTGTTTAAAGGGAGGTTCCGATCTGGGTTCAATAGTGCGGATTTCGATGTCGCAAGGACGCCCATTACGGCTAGAGCAGGTCGTAAGAATAATTTGGATGTCATCAAGGAAGTCAAAAGCAATGAACGTAGCAGTAGTCTTGTCGGGATCCGGGCCATAGATGAGACCACGACCGGCGGTTTGATTTCCGGCATGACGGCGGCATCATGGAAGTGGGATTTTGTCGAATGAAGTTGACAACGTAAGGTCGGTGAAATTCGAACTGAGAAGCCATGAGGGGCTCTCATAGGAGTAGAATGAGGTAACATCTTGGCTTAAGTCAAGAGTGCAAATGGAAGAGTCTGAAGCCGCACTTGTTTTATATAAGAAAGAGTTCAAGACTGCAATAACCTTCATTCAACTTAGGTCGCTACCACGGAATCCTATTTGAAGCAAGCACTTCCTTCTTCTAGTCTCTGTATTACTTTATTAGACCGCTACTACCTACCCAACTATCCGGTCACCGGTAGTCAGCCGGTCTTCCATCGGAGCTGTCCTCCGACGGAGGGAGGGGTTCCCAGACCAGGAATCATGTACCGATATGCCAACTCATCCCTGCTTCCACAAGACTTTTGGGCTATAATTGAATGGCCTAGCACGGTAGATCCGTACGTTATCATTGCTCCATTTCCAGCACAGGCCCGGTTTGAGGTTGTAATGTTAGTTTGCATTACGTTTCATAGATAGATCTGCCTAGGTGGGGTTGGTCAGCGAGGTCTTGTGATAAACCATTTGACTTTCAGTGTTACCAGGCGCTCATAGTATATATCCTTTGCCTCGGTGATTAGGTTCCGATATTAATCTTCAGTACTATCTGGTGATATCAGAGTTTTACCTCATGTCTCAGGACATAGCCTTGGAAGTCCAATCCCTGTTAGTATGATATTGAAAGATATCTACTCTCGCTGCGATACGGGGGAAGGAAAAAGGACCTTAAAAAGACGAGCACCAAAAAGACATGACTAGACCACGTAAGTGGCCAAATATTCCTGTAGAAATTCAATTTATATTCGACGATGATAACTTATACATAGATTTTCCTTTCTTAAACCTCATTCGAAGGATATGTGACCTTTTCCAGAGGCACAAACTCCTCCTTGATTGTGCGAGTGCTAACGAATCGCTGCAGGTGAGCCATAGTGCCGGTCTTGTCGTTTGTACCCGAGTCGCGGCTACCACCAAACGGCTGCTGAGCCACAGTCGAGCCGGTGCACTTTGTATTTAAATAGAGCATGCCAGCAGCGTGCTTGAGAATAGTCTGCGCCTGGCGGCTGACATAAGGATCCTTAGCGAAGATACTCCCAGTCAATGCATAGCGAGAGGTTGTGTCAACCAGCTTCAACGTTTGCTCCCATTCAGCATCTGGGTAAACATAGATGCCAAGAATGGGTCCAAACAGCTCCTCAGACAAAATCTTGTGGTGAGGGTTGGAGGTCTGATAGACGGTGGGGTGCACGTAATAGCCCTCTGCCTTAGAAGCCTTTCCGCCAACGATAAGGTCCAGCTCCGGGTCACTCTTTGCTTCCTCGATGAACTTGTTGAGCTTGTCAAATGAACGCTCGTGAATAACTGGGTTGATAAAATTGCCATAGTCTTCGACATCTCCCACCTTGAGAGCTGCGGTCTCTTCTGCCAGGACCTTTTTGAACTCGGGCCAAACAGACTCCGCAACATAAACACGCGAGTTGGCAGAACACTTCTGACCTTGGTATTCGAAGGCTGCTCGAATGGTATTTAAAGCCGCGCTCTTCACATCTGCGGATGGGTGGACGACACCCCAGTTCTTACCACCGGTCTCGCCGACCACTCGAGGGTAGGAGTTATAGATACCGGCGCCAACGCCATCGCCGATCTTCTTCTGAATGCCCTTGAACGTAGCAGTGGCGCCAATGAATGTCAGGGCTCCAAACTCGGGTCTCTTAAGAATAGTGTTGGTGATTTGCTCGGCATCACCGGGCAAAAACTGAACAACATCCTTAGGCAAGCCGGCTTCAAGCAAAATATGATGAAGGAGCCAGCTAGCATGCAGCGCTGAGTCGGAAGGCTTCCAAATAACGACATTGCCAAGCAATGCAGCAGGTCCAATAAGCGTTGCACCGAGTGCGGTGAAGTTAAAAGGAGCAATGGCGTATGTGAAGCCCTCAAGCGGGCGGTACTCCATCTTGTTCCAGTTTCCATCGAGGTGGACTTTGGGTTGCTGGGAGTACAACGCCCACGCCTCTTGGATGTAGTGGCGGAAGAAATCGGCCGTCTCGGCAGCAGCATCAATCTCGGCTTGCCAAATGTTCTTTCCTTGGCCAAGCATTGTAGCTGCAACGATCTCTGAGCGGTATTTACCGGTGATGAGTTCGGAGGCTCGAAAGAAGATCGCGGCACGGTCTTCGAATGGGGTAGCTTCCCATGCGGGCTTTGCATTGAGGGCTGCATCGATGGATGCATTGACTTGCTCTGGGGTGGCAGAGGCGTAGTTTGCAACAATCTCACTATGTTTTGAAGGGTTTGGTTGGGAGCGAGATTCCTTCGTGGTAACCTAGAGAGGTATGTCAGTTGAATGTCCCTAATTGGTAGAGGTTGTTCTCACTACATACCTCTGAGCCATTAATAGTGATAGGAATAGTGAATGGGAATTGTCCCTTGAGTTTCTTGATAGTCTTGGTCAATTCGACTCTTTCTGGAGAGCCTTTGGCATAGTTCAGCTGATTTGCAGTTAGTCAAAGTCCATTTATATCCATAGATACTTTAGCTTTACTCGCCATCTTTTCATTTTCGAACTTGGGAGGGCTTAGCAGAGTCAGGTACCGCCTTGATGGTCCATTTATAGCGCGAGGCCTGAGGCAATTGAGCCTTGCTCCTCGAGTAAGGGTAACAGGACGCATATTGTGAAAAAAAGAAATAAAGGTACGCAGATTTCAGTCGATGGTAAAGGAAGAACAGTTTGCCAACACACCGTTAAATATGACATTCATGCATGAACCAGGTATACTGACCATCGGGAGGTCCCTCCGAGCGGGGAGTCTGTACTAACTGATCTCCAATGTCGGTGCAGCCTTCCGATTTTCACTGTTCACTGTTCACTGTCGCTGTTCGCTGTCCGATGTTAGATAAGAGAGACCCAAGTCACTCCGGCGGAGGTATATCTTTGGGATAGAGGAGTATCGGCATTCTCTGCGAGCTCCGCAATGTCATAGAGACCTAGTTCTCTTTTGTGGCTAAACTTCTTGAGCAAGATTTAACTCAGAAGTCTAGAGACTGTTGAAATGTGTAAGTTCAAGAGAAATATCTCCCATATTATCCCATAGTGCTGGAGTGATCTTGATCTTCCATAACGCCATTCATAGTCTCATATATCACCAGATGATACTTGCTAGCACGCATTCTTCTTATTTGAATGAGACAACAATGACAATAATCGAAAACAAGCAGAACCAATTCTAACAAATTCAACCTTCATAATGTATGTATACGTTTGTAGTCTGTAGTCTTGAGGTAAGAGGGTCGTAGCTGGTACAACTGGCCTGGCCTGACTAACCCGGTTGGGCACAGTACCAGTGACATTGGAGCCTGTTATCTCTCTCTCCTTGAACTTGAATTGTCACCATATTTCCTATTGCATCTCATCATTTTGACAATCGAGTGTCTCCAGGGTTGTTGTTGTTTTTTGTTTTTCTTTTTTCTTTTTGAGGTGGAAAGCGGTGCCCGTATACTCGTGCAGCCAGCAGCCCCCCTAGGAGCTCCGCTTGATCGTCAACATCGTCATTGCCACCACCTCCACACCTGACCCTCCCCGACAGCTCCCCCGGCGCAAACACCACCCCGTCGGTTTCCTGATGTCCTTATTCGGCACATCTCCGGAGGATCCCTCTGCGGGTGATCCTGCTAGGTTCAAATCCTCGCTCTTTGCTGACGAACCGGCTACGGGCGGCTCTTCGCTGTTCGCCGATGACGACGGCGACGACAACTCCTCTCCTTGGAACGCCCAAAATAATACAGCCAAGAGAACCGCCCGGCGCGACCTGGCTCGAACCTTGCTTCCTAATACAGATGTACCTGAGAGCTACATCGACGCATACGACCTGATTCTGAACAGTGGTGACAGGGTTGGCTCCGGCATTGGGTTGACCTCTGTTCGGGAGATCCTTTCAAGCAGCGGGCTCACTGCAACCAACCAAAGCAAAATCCTAAACCTTGTTGCTTCTGGTGATCATGAAAGCTTTAGTGGACTCGGTCGTGGCGAGTTCAATGTGCTATTGGCGCTGGTCGGCCTAGCGCAAGAAGGCGAGGACGTCTCGTTTGATGCAGTGGACGACCGCCGCAAAAGTGAGTGACCTTGCCGCCTTTCGTATTTCTTTATTTGTTATTCGGGATAATCCCTCTAACGCGGAGTCAACGCAGAATTACCTCAGCCAAATGCTGCATACCTCGACCGGCTACGAACGACCGACGACGCGAGCTCTGAACAACCATACCAACAACCTACTACGCCCCCTTCCCAACCCCCTCCCTTCCAAACTTCCGGCTCCGCACAATCGCAAAGGTTGCGACGAACGTCATTAGGCGGATTGGAGTCAGACCCATGGGGCAGTCCAGAATTACACCGCGGTCACAACCATGAGACAGGAGGCGCTGAACCACGTCCATTGAATGGATTCGGTAGTGTGAGGTCCACGACAAATGCCTGGTCTAGCAAGGCGACCGAAGACACCACACAAAGCAATGTAGTTCAACGGGATCATTTCAATGGCCAGACGGAGACTGCGCCGCCTAGCAGTTCTGGGTCGGGATGGGGAAACAATAACTTCAGCGGAGCGGGTCCGAGCGATGAAAGTAGCTTTGGAGGAACAGTGCCTCCAGCGCTAGGTGGATTTGGTCCTGCGGTAGATGAGCCCAGAACTGTTGCACCACAGCGCCGGTCCCTTGGCCTCGGCCAATCGACAAACCCACAGGTAGAGGAGACCGTGACTGTTGTGTTGCTCCCTGAGAAAGAAGGCTTGTTTATGTTCCAACACCGAAATTATGAGGTGAAGTCTGCACGGAGAGGCAGCACGGTTATTCGGCGTTATAGTGATTTTGTCTGGCTATTGGACTGCCTCCAAAAGCGATTTCCTTTCCGGCAATTGCCTCTTCTTCCCCCAAACGGGTTTCAGGTATGCATAACGCTGGTTTAGCGCACCTAATCGCTTACTCACAATTATGAAGTCAATGGCACTCACCTCTCAGCGGATTCATCCTCCTTCCTCGAAAAGCGCCGGCACGGACTAGTTCGATTCACCAACGCCCTCGTTCGCCATCCCGTTCTTGGCCAAGAGCAGCTTGTGATCATGTTCTTGACAGTTCCAACAGTAAGCTTTCCCTTGGGGGATTTTGGGGATTCTCAAGACAGACAATAACCGTGAAAACAGGAACTCTCGGTATGGCGAAAGCAGGCCACAATATCAGTCCAAGACGAGTTTGTTGGCCGTGTCCTCCCACCGGATCTTGAAGACTCCTTACCTGCCACTCTCGACGAAACGTTCGAAACTGTTCGTAGCGGTGTCAAACGTTCTGCAGAAATCTATATTAATCTTTGCACTTTGCTTGAGCGGCTGGCTAAGCGTAACGATGGTCTGGCTGCTGACCACCTCCGGTTCTCACTCGCCTTGCAGTCCTTGACGGAAGTCACTAAAGATACATATGCGGTGGACACCAATGATATTCCGTCCCTTAATGCAGGTATCACAGCTACCGCTCGGCATCTCTCTGTCAGCCAAAGTCTACTGGAGGACGAAGCCCGAGGGTGGATTGAGGGGGTTCTAGAAGATCTAAAGCGGCAGCGTGATTGCTTAGTCAGTGTGCGTGAAATGTTCGATCGACGGGATCGGTATGCACGGAACAACATTGCACAGTTGGAACGGCGTATTGAGACCAGTGAGCACAAGCTGCAGGACCTACGTGCCCGACCCTCGGGCACAGTAAAGCCAGGAGAGATTGAGAAGGTTGAGGATTCTATCTTCAAGGTGAGAGAGACTATGTATTCAAATGGCACCCACCCACAAGCATACTAATTTAGTTGTCTACTAGGACAAAGAATCCATTGTGCAACAGCATGCTCGGGGTGTCTTCATCACGGAATGCATTCGTGATGAACTCGTTCACTTCCAGCAGAGCCAGTATCACATCAGCCGCCTGCATCAGGACTGGAGCCAGGAGCGTGTCAAGTACTCTGAACTGCAGGCGGAGAACTGGCGTGGCTTGAGCGATGAAGTTGAGAGGATGCCGACAGGCTTGTAAGGCAGCATTTTGCCTCATCATCCAGGTCGTATGTCTATCGTACATAGCCAGCGGTGGACTTGAAAATCTTCAAGCCATCCTTGTTAGGGATTACGTGCGGGATGTGCGGGGGTGCGTAGTGTGCACAGTGTGCATGGAACCTTTGCTTTTTTTTTTCTAATTTTTTATGTTCCCTCCATATTTCCCCGGAAATATACTTTGTATGCATGTTTTACGATGTTGGGTTCTCTGCATCAAATTCCCCTGAAAGTGTGCAATCCTTTTGATACTGTGTGTTTTTTTTTTTTTTACAAAATTCCCAATTCAAGTTATTGATTGTATTCTTGTTCTGATATTCTAGGATATATATAAAATACTGTATATAAGGAAAGGGGCAGAGTCCTACATACCAGTATACATATAACATACCTAAACAGATATTATGTACGGAGTAGTGAAAGTTATGATATGTGTACTGTATATTCCGTACCTGGATAAAGTCCGTATTCGTACATAAATTATAGAAGGTGCCCTGATTCCCCACTAGAACATCTATCGTAAGCCCCAGGACGCCACTGACCCAAGAAATCCCAATAAACCGTCAGATTTTGGCCTTGGCGCCTGACAGGGCTGGTCGATCTTAGATTACAGTATCATTACCATACACAACCGGGATATTACAGGGCCTGTAACTTGTTCGGGTGAAATGAAGAGACACACATGCGGTATGCACTTCATTTGATACTCTTCTTCCTCTTATGTATCTTTTCCCTTTCTCTCTCTACATCATCATAATCTTTTTTTTCCCCTCCGTCAACATCCTAATCTATACGCGCACGTCCTCCTCCGCTAGCCAAGACCGATTCCGCTTTTAACGTGGGTCTCTTAAGTCTCGGCTGACGAATCCCGCCCTTTCCAAGGATCCTTCGCTCTGGGCAAATCTCCCAAAGCACTCGTTCACTCGCTTTCCTCTGCTTGGCCAAGAGCTTCCAAGACTCTGACCGGATTTCGCTCTTGTCTATTTTTTTTCTCTTTCTCCCTTTCCCCCCTTCCAATCCGAATCTGAGCCTGACTCCCCTGGGGCCAAGCCTGAGTTCTTTTTTCCCTCAACCTCTTGCCTAGCCTCGCCTCCGCACCCCCGTGGCATCCCCAAGATCTTGGCCACAGTCTGCGCCCCGCAGAATCTGCACCATCGCCCACCTCCAAACCTGTCGGACGTGCGCCTCAATCGCGAAACCCCATTCAGCCCTACAAGGCTCGGCAACTTGGCTTTCCAATCGCCGATTCACCAAGGCATGAAGAGCTACGCGGACCAACGAAGTTCGAGGGCGGAATTCATCCGGTAAATTGCTCGTCGCTGTACGAAGCACGGGACGGAATCATACAAAAGTTCCCGGGATAATACAGTTGGTGTTTAATCACCGCCATCTTCACCATGGCATGGGACCATCTGGACATCGATAAGCCGCATTTGGCTTACATGATCCTAGGAGGTTTCACAGGCCTGTTCATGCTGTGCTCCTTGTTCGTCAAGGAGAAGCTGTACATCGGTGAAGCCACCGTAGCCACGATCTGTGGTATAATCTTCGGCCCCCATGCGGCCAATTTGTTCAATCCGCACGAATGGGGAAATATCGACAAGATCACCCTCGAGTGCTCACGAATTGTCCTGGTCGTGCAATGTTTCGCCGTCGGTGTTGAGTTGCCTAAGTCCTACATAAAACGGCATTGGAAGTCTGTTACCTTGCTGCTGCTCCCCGTCATGACCTGGGGTTGGCTGATCACCAGTTTGTTTATCTGGTGGCTAGTGCCTCCCCTGAACTGGCTGGAGGCTTTAGTGTGTGCTGCATGTGTCACGGCTACCGATCCTGTCTTGGCGTCATCTGTCGTTGGTAAGGGAAAGTTCGCCAAGCGTGTCCCCAAGCATTTGCGTGACTTGTTGTCTGCGGAGTCCGGGTGTAACGACGGCATGGCTTTCCCATTCATTTATCTGTCCTTCTACATCTATCACTATCGTCCTCAAGTCGGCGAGGTATGGCTGCACTGGTTCTGTGTCACAGTTCTGTACGAATGTGTTTTGGGTGCTATTTTCGGCTTCACCATCGGCTACGTTGCTCGGCATGCGATCAAGTTGGCTGAGCGCAAGGGATTGATCGATCGTGAGAGTTTCTTGGTGTTTTACTTCGTGTTGGCTGTCTTCTGTGCTGGCTCGGGTGCTTTACTGGGCATGGACGACTTGCTGATTGGATTCGCTTGTGGTGTTGGGTTCAGTAACGATGGTTGGTTCACGGAGAAGACAGAGGAATCTCATGTCTCCAACGTTATTGATCTTCTGCTCAACTTGGCATACTTTGTCTATTTCGGATCCATCATTCCCTGGGAGGACTACAACTCCCCCGAGCTCGGTCTTACTCCTTGGCGGCTGGTGGTGATTGCGTTATTGGTCCTATTATTCAGACGTATTCCTATCATGCTAATGCTCAAGCCGATAATACCGGACGTCAAAACCTGGCGAGAAGCTTTATTTGCAGGGCATTTCGGTCCTATCGGTGTCGGTGCTATTTTCGCTGCTATTCTCGCTCGAGCGGAGCTGGAGCACCACGACACACAACCATCACCTGAAAACGAGCTTCCGATGCCAGGAGCCAGCAATTACTATGTTGTCAGGCTCATTTGGCCTATCACTACCTTCATGGTCATTACATCCATTCTGGTGCATGGCTCGTCTATTGCAGTCTTCACTTTGGGTAAACGCATCAACACCTTGACTATCACACTATCCTACACACAGGCCAACGAGGAGGGACCTTCATGGATGAACCGTCTTCCTCGTGTGCAGTCAATCGCCAAGGGCTCCATGTCCTTCCGCAAGACGGAGGATGCGGATGCCTCATCGGACGAAAAGCTTCCTGCGTATCCCCCCCGGTACCTTACCGCCTATCGGCATGCCTGGCAACTTCCTCCGCCGGCAACGCGACGAGGAGGGAGACAGTGAGACACAAAGTCTCGAGTCTTCTCGTCGTAAGCCCTTGCGGAGACGTCGCCGTAAGCGTGCTGCTGCTGGCGGCGGAGGCCCAATTAGCCAGTCCGCTATTATGCCCGCTCCTCGCCGCACTGAGGATGAGGATGAGGCCGACGTAGAAAAGAAAGAACTAGAAGAGCGCGATCAAGTTGAGCGCGAAGCTTCTCCGCCTCATGCCGAGCGTGATCGCTTCGGCCGTGAGCCAGAGCTAGAGGTTTATCAAGAGGGCTCCAACATGATCATCGAGGATGCAGAGGGCAATGTTCTCGCGACCGAGGACACCTCCCATATGTCCCCGGAAGCCAAGATTGCGCACATTGAAGCTCAACGCAAGCGTCTGGAAAATGATAAATCAGGGAAATTCGCAGCCTCTGAGAGTCGACCCCACACAAAGACCGAGGGAGAGGAGCTCAAACACTCTGTTGAGGAGAAGGCTGGTACGTCATACGGAAAGACACTCAAGAAGTGGACCGACTGGACTGGACTTGGAAAGGATCGGGGCACAGAACAGCCAGAGAAGGGCGAGAAGAAAGAGAAGCCCCCGAAGGCCGATTCAGCAAAGCCCAAACCTCGTTCAGCTCATGCATACCAATTCGGCAATACTATTATTGTTGAGGATGAAGATGGTGAGGTTATCAAGAAATATACCCTTCCCGGCGGCAAGAAGGGCGAGAAGGCTCCGAAGGAGCCCACCGTCCCTGGTGAAGTACCTGTTCGCCGTGGTCTGACCCGCATGGGAACGTGGTTCGGAATGGAGGAAGAAGGCGAATCCTCCCAAGCTGCCCAAGAAAAGAGGAAGGACGACGACTGGACCGCCGACGACGGCATTCGATTCACGTTGGCTCAGGACCCCCAAATCGACTCCCAAGGCATTGGCCACAAGGGTCGACGTATGAACAAACAGGAATTCTTCGAGCAGATGAAGGGTCTTGACGCCAAAGCCCGTCGGGATCTGGTGCAACAAACCGACGCACCAGCACCGGTTCAGGAAACGGCCCGATACGAAGCCAAGGAAGAAATAAAGGCCGAACAAAAGCAAGAGCGCCGCCTTTCTGCTGCCGCCGTCGCCGCTACCACCGGCGCCGACACCATCCCCGAAGAAGACGCTGAAGCTCTGGATTCCGAGTCCATCACCGATAGCGACGTTACTGACGATGAGTCTGGCGACCATCATGGTGCCCCTAACGTGGCTGCCTCATTGGCGAAGTTCTCACGTGGCGGTACTTCCGCCGCCCAAGAACGCCGCAACAACCTCAGCCCCGCACCACCCCGTATACGGGACCGGCCGCGCCGCGATTCCGACGACGATGGTACAGAGCGTATCCCACCTTCGCGTCTCCGTCAAGCCGCTGGTTTGACCGCGCCCCCACGCCAGGTTGATGACGACACAGGCGAGACCCCAGCCGAGCGTCGCCGCCGTCTGGCTGCCCTGGGCGTTGAGGGTGACGACTCCGAGAACGAGGATGGCTCGGAGTCGGATGACAATGCCATTATGGAGGAAGACTCGGACGTTGAGGATAATGAGAACGGTAACTCGAGCCAGACTACTAGCAAGAACCAGAACTCCGAAACACACAAGCCGTCTGACCAGTCTTCTCCATCTGGATCTGGATCTGGATCCGGCTCCGGCTCCGGTTCGCAGTCTACCTCTCGACAAATCCCACGTGTTTCATGGGGAGGCGAGAAGGGACGTGAGCCTTAAGCGAGTTTGTTCAATAAACCCGTCTCGCTATCTCAAAGGAGTTAATTGGATAGAAAGGTCTTGCCTCGGGTTGTTTATCCCGTTCCCCGTCTCTCATAGTCGTCCTCAGCAATACAGAGGAGAAGGAAACCATTGCATTCCTCCGAAGTCTTGAGTCGATACTGGAAATGTATTTACCCAGGTTATATTCCTTCGACCTTTTTGCTTCGACTATATTCATGTATTTTCTTATCTCATTCGCTGTGCATATTAACAGCTCTTGCATGTAACGACCTTGCTCGATCACCGCGATCGACTTGCTCATTTTTGTCGAGTTTACATGATTCCTCTTTTGTTCTTGGCTTGCTGCTTTTATTTGCTAGAGCGAAGCGAGTTTACCTATACGATGTATTCTTTATATGGACATAGATAGTGCTTGTCTTTTCAAATTGTCATCATATCGCAAACATCCACAGCCGGGAGTAAACAACGTTGGGAGCAACTATAGATAACTAGATACCTGTAGTTAAAGAACTGCTTCCAACCGTACTAGTAATATCTACCATCTTTACCAATAAGAGAAACAACTTGATCTAATTGACAAAGATCGAGGTATCAAACGAATGAAAACCAGCTCCATATAAAACAAGCCCAAGAAAAAGAATTAAACAAAAAATGCATATGTAAACTAAGTGCAATCCCATTCAACCCATCTTACTCCATAGTATTCTGCGGCCTCATAATACCCCTTCCGAAGAACTCACTAACAACCCCAAATCGATCCCGCGAGCGAGACAACTCCCCCTTGAACAAATCATGCTGATCCGCAGAATCAACCTGTCGTTGCCGAATAGCGCGCAGAGTCGCATTTGTCGGGGCGCAGACGGGACAGTGCGCGTCGTCGTCAAGTTTGTTCAGACAGCGCTCGTGGAAGGAGTGTCTGCAGAGGAAGTGGACTGTGGGCAGGTCGAGGGTTCCGCCGCAGGATTGGCAGCGGCGGGATTGGAAGACTACCGGTTGGGTGGTTAGGTGGTCTAGTTCTTGTTGTTTGGTTTCGGTTTCGGATTTGTAGCTTGTGATGAGGCGGCGGTTCTGGGGATGGAAGTTGGGTTAGTTTTGATATTCACCAAATAGGAATGGGTGGATGTTGAGGGGGCTTACCGTGGTGATTTCTTTGCGTTCGCGGTCGATGTTGTCGCTGAGGTACTTCTTCACGCGGCCCATTGTTACTACCGCATTGTTGCTGAGCGCTTGGATCACCTGCAATGGGGAGAGGAGGCCGTCTTGGTTAATGCGCTGTAGGACTGTGTCTAGCTCGTCGCCGGCTTCTTCGAGAATTTTCGGGCTCGAGGCGAAATATGTCAATGCGTCGACGTAAAGCTGGGGCTCGTCGGGCCCATACCGGCGTAGCGCTTTGATGGCGCCTTGTGTATCTTTTGCTGAAGTGAATGAACGGAAAATATCAAGGCGAAGACCTTCTTGCTCGCGGACGAGGGTGGATCCTTCCCTGAAATTTGACAGGTCGGAGAGGAGAAGCACGTTGGATGTGGAGATCGGGATCTAGGTGGGTTAGATATAAGAGGCGATAAATGGGTAACGGAATAACTCACGTCTTTCCCTTCGATTAGTTTCTTGGCTTTTGTTTCCCATTCTTGTCTTTCACCTGCATCTTTCTTCCCCTTTGCCGTGTCCAGGTACATCTCAAACAGTGTCGTGAAAATATCAACTTTGGCGTCCTGCTTCAAGTCCGGCTGCTGCACCAAAGTCTCCAGGAAATCAATGAACTCTTTGGGGTGATCCACAAACGCAGAGAAGGCTGTTCGCGGCTTGGGAATGTCATAATCCGGCGGAGCATCCTCAACCTTGTCTTCATTTGTCGCTGGCTCGGGAATTTCAGCCGGAGTTTGTGTGGCGGTGCCAACATTCATATACCGCAAAGGCAGAAGTGCAGCAAGACTTTGTACCGTGCTGGTAGTCTGCTCTTGGGGCTCTTCTGGCTGTTCTACCTCCGTGCGTGGTCGGTACTGACCAGAATAGTAAACCTTGAACAGCTCTGATGTCCGCTCAGGGCAATGCGTCAACAATACTCGAGCGTATTTCATCAAATTGTGATAGGCCTAGCACGGATTAGTTTGTTTCCCGCAATGATGCTGCGTAGTTGAGACATACCACTTCAGGATCCAACCGCCAGATGTATTCCACTGCCTCGGCGTACTTCTTAGACTCTTCGATCAGGATATCGACGACCATGTCATTCTCTCCATGCTTTGTTGCAAGATAGGCTGCTTGCTCATAGTATCCACCTTGACGGCACATTGCAATGGCAGTTTCAAGATCAAATTTCAGCTCGCCAGGAGCTTTGATAAACGAGTCTAGCTTGCTTGTGTCTTTGAGCTTTGCGTAGCAGTTTAAAAGAAGTGTTGTGTGATCAACTGTGGCACGGCCATGGTCGTGTAGCTCTTCAAGATACTCAATCAAGTTGTGAATACGTTGGGTGTCCAGGTACTGCAGTAACAGTTAGTAAGAAAACAATGCCAAATCCCGATCCTTGCTGACCTTGCGAATGACCTGAGAAGGTTCGGTATTATCAATGGCCCGGAGATACTGCTGCATAGCAGTATCATAATCGCCCCGCTGGTACAAAAAGTCGCCATACTTGCGGTAGATGGCATTCTGTTGTAGCGGATCAATCCCAATCTTTTGCGCAAGATTAATAGCGAGGATGTAGAGATTGCGCTCATATAAAATTTCCAGTTTTTGCTGGAGGGCTTTTTCCCGATAACGGAAGACCTACAGCGGGTTAAAAGAAAGACCACCACAAAAATATAGCATCCACATACCTTGCCATCTGTCGTAAGAAGAAACAAGTCACCCCATTCCATGAAAATCCGTTTCATAGGTGACACCAGCGCTTCGCTATGCGCAATGAACTTAAGATCAGTATCAAGCAAAGTGAACGTGGTCGTGCCAAAGATATCCTCAGCCGGACTAGCAGTGTACTTCCTTAGCGGATCCGACTTGCTAGTCCCAGCCTTGGGTGGACAGACGAGAGCCACATAGTCACGAAAAGCATCAATAGACGTCTTCGGGCCCTCGAACGCATAGCTCGCACCACGACCCCGCGGACTGTACGTAAAGATCGCCTCCTCCCGGGCAATGAGAATATCCCCACCCTCTGTATCCAGAGTCATGCAGCCCAAGCCGCAGCCCGTATCTTCCAAAACGCGCGCAGGCTGGCCCTGTCCTCGGCCGGCGATGACCAAGGTCAAAATGCGGCTCGTTGTTGAAATGTAGAGGGTTGTGATTGCGCCAGTTTGTATTTCGAGTCCGGTAATTGGTTCCTCGGACTCGAATACGATCCGTTGTCGCGCGCCTCGGTCGTGGATCAGGTCGCCCCGGATGATCGTCACGGATCCATTCGCGAAACCCACTGCTACCTGCGAGAGGTCGTCGACCGCTGCGAAAGCCGATATCTATATCACCGTAAGTAAGTATTGGCCTCGCCTATTCTTGCTTCCGATTCAAACGCACTGGGAACTGTCTCCTGGCATTTTGCACGGAGACTGTTGACAGACACCGCGGGCCACCATCTTTCCTCTCCGTATCTAGCGCCCAGACCTTCAGGACGGGTTCATTGGAGAGATCCTCTGCGACGGTTACTAGTAGAGCGGTATCATTTATCTGTCGCATGTGCGTAATGGAGCCGGTATCGTGGGCCTTGAACGATCGCACGACGCGGAAGGTCGAGGAGACGATGTGGACGAAGCCATCGGTTGTGCCGACGAAGAGGTTCGCGGAGCCAGTACAGATACTCGAGAGGTCACTCTATGGGTGACTGTTAGATACAGCGTGAGCTGGAGCGGTGGAAAGTCGAGGCCTTACATTGAAGATTGAGGAGCTGTCCTCTGGTAGCTTCACCGGCGACACGTCGATGAAGTTGAATGCTTTCCACTGGTGCTTCTGTCAGCTACAATCTATCAGGAGGAAATTTCGGCTTTCTTACTGATGTCAGCGCCATCTCGGCTCGCCATTGATTGAGATGTGAAGGTGACGATGCAGTTCGGAGCTCTCCCCGCTGGCGCTCGGGCCACTTGGTTCCTGATGTCGATCTACGGCTGCCAGAACGACGTTCTTTTCTACTTTGCGCTTCAGATGATTATTCATTTCGTGATTTGTAGCCTTTTTGTCGGGTCAACATATGTAACAATCTATGAAATCACCATAACCAATATGTATTGCTAAAATAAAATGTACCCATATATGCTAGGACTATGAGAGCCTGGAATAACTTCGCTACCAAGCTGAAAGCTTTCATCACGTATGATGGTAAGATACAAAGATGGAAAGAACAAGAAGTGAAAATGATAGTCATAACGGCATCAAGGAAGTCTCGTTATTGAGATAGATCCATGTTCAAAGGGGAAGGTTGCGTGTCAGAGGTAGGAATCCGGCCGCTATCCTTCATGAAATCAAAACTTTGTTGCAGCCAGCTACCAGCATCTGCAATTGCCTGACTGAGATTGAAACTCTCCATTCCCTGTTGGACACCTTGTCCATCCTGGCCTGTTGTTGGCATCGATTCGTTTAGGGTGAGGGGCAAGGATGCGACCTCTGTTGCGGATTGGTAAGTTGGTTGGTGATCCAACTGTTGGGTCACTGGCTGCGGACTTTCTTCATCTTCCCCTGATTGGGATTCCGCAGTATGGTATTCGTTGTCGAGAGATGTTGATCGACTGCCGGTAGAACGGGAGGGACTTCCGAAATTGGCCGTCCTTTTTCTCTTGGAGTTTCTTGCCATAGGTGAACCTGAGTCTGGCCGAGATGCACGCTGCCTCTTCTCTGTGCTGAAAGCATAGGGTGTAGCTGCATCGAGCATGAACTGTGTATTCATTGCTTGCGTCATATTTCTGTTCGTGGGTTTAAAACTCCGATCTTGACCAGCTTGCTCGGTGCTGAAATTGAAAGGTGTAGCTGCATCAAGCATGAATTGCGTGCTCATTGCTTGCATTCCATCCTTGTTCGTGGATCTGGAACTTCGCTCTAAATCACGTCGAATTGACTCGTCTAGACGGTAGAATGGAGTGACATTTGCTGAGTGAAGTGAAGCATTGGGTGAATGCACAGCTCGGTCCGGGTTCGGCGTATGTTGATTGTAATATTCCGGACTGTCCAAGTCGTCTTGAAAAGACTTCTGGGCATGCAAAAGGGCAGCCTGGGTCGAAAGCTGGGTATCGGGGCTTGAGGTTGAGTCATGTCCTGAATCTCCTCTTGGCAAAGCCGTGGAGTGCAATGACGTTACCCGATCTGAGACTCCCAAAGGTGCTGGTACTGGTTGGGCGGAAGGGAGATCATAGGTGTTCTGCTCGGTTGGTCCAGAGATATCTGTGTTTTGAAATGTCGATGTATCTTGCTCGTTTGCAATAACTTCCGCTGCGGCCTCTTTCTCGGCTACAGCTTCCCCTGGTACATCTTCCCCTGCTACCTGATTTTCCGCAACGTTGTTTTCTATGAAATCTTCCTCGTCTGCGAACCTGGTTTCTTTCGACAAAGTCTTATGGCTCGCATCTTTCTTTATAGGGTCCTCACTGTGAACTGCTATTTCTTCGGGAGCAGAGGGCTCAGGCTCAGCTGCAGGCTCAACAGGATCCAATGCTTGATCCTTAGCGGGACTAGGTCTAGCGGGTGCGGGGTCGATTACGGACTTTTCTTTCAGAGGGCTGTCCTCCTGCAAAAAAGTCTCTTCTTGCAAGATACTTTCATCTTGCATAGGAGAAGTCTTCTCCTGCTGACTCGAATGTTCACGGAGCCACCTCCGATATTCAAACCTCGGCAGCTGGGAGGAGGAATTGACGATTCGGAGAGACGCTTCCTGTGACAAATGAGATAGTTGATATTGTTTGAATGGTGATACTTTGGGAACGGCAGGAACTTTGGGTGAGTTAGAGGTCCCCGATTGAGTCGACCGTGGTGACATGTGCCCATTCGAGTTTGCACTAGCACTCTGGGCTGTCTTCGCTGGGACAGGTTTGAGAGGAGGGTATTTTTCTGGCGATCCCGGCGTCTGTGGGACCTGGACTTGAACAGAGCGAGACATTGGTCGACGGGCTTTATCTGACTGACGAGAGGCCACGGATATTGTTGGCGAGCTCGGCGGTTCGAACTTGGTGAAGTTCATGAGCTTCCGATCCTTCTTCAGCCAGTCCGCTGTCCTAGGCGGCATTATTGATTGGTCTCCTACTGCCGACGACGGCAGTTCCTTCGATTTGGTGGGAGACCGTCGCAGTGCTCCATTTTGTCCGCCATACCCCGGGCGCGGGGTGGGTTCCTTGGGTTGTCTCCGTGGCGATTTCGAAGGCGAAGAACGGTCTCCAGCTTGCACCGAGGTCCTAGGGGAGTTGCAAGATGTCGTAGGGATCTCCGGGTAGCGAGTGCTGACCAAGAGACCCTCCCGGTATTTAGGAGCCCGCAAATCAGTCTCCTGGACCACCGGCTCGGGGACATTTGTCTGGCGAACCCTCACTGGTGCGCCGGTCCCGCGTGTCCTGTGCTTCTTCCACGGATTGGTCCATCCATCATGGAAAGGGCCCCGCAGCGACGCAGAGAGAATCAACAATGGTTTGCCCTGCAGATAAGACTCCGCCAACTTCTCAACCCGCTGGCGCTTTGCAGCTCGGGCAGCGTCATCCAGCTCCTCATCCGAGGCAAGGAGGTCATCCGAATCTAGCTCGGAGGGTGAAGGCATGCATGTTTCGAGGGAGACTGGGGAGACAGGCCGCGGGTAGGGCATTGGGGTTGAGTTTCGAGCTGAGCTGAGCGGAGATTATTTGTTGAGTGGAGAAGCCGAGGCAGTCGGACACTGCGATGGAGGGGTTTTGGGCGGATGCTTGAAGGTTGTGTTCATTTCCAGTAGAGAGTTAGACCATATGCGATTGATACCAGGCAGATATGTATCTGCCAGAGATGAGTGCCTAACGCGAAAACCACAAACCACTTAACGCGTTTGATGTCCCAGCAACCAGACCCACGGCAGTGGGGAAACATTATGTCATCATCTATATCCCTCCAGTGAATGCTACAAAGTTATATATTGAACATTGTCTACACATTTTAAGCCCTTCCACTTCTTTTCCAGTCATTATCTAGAGACCTTGAGAAATGGGAGAATATATTTAAAAAAGACTATCTAGAAGACTACCCCAAAAATGGCTTAAATTCTCAAAAGCAATGAATTCTACTACATACAAGTACAGCGGTTTCGATCACGACATCACGGGGCAGCTATAGCTGTTCTCATACGCATATATAGATGGTGGCCTAGCAATCTATATACTAGCCGTGCCAAGCTGACCAACACCAGGTCCCCTGGTGTTGGTGCGCCCCAGCAGATACCCATTTTTCACCAGATACCCAATCTACAATTTTATGTATCTTTTGCATGACTTACCCATACAAAAGGTACTTAGACACCCCGTAAACATAACATGCATTTTCTCAGCACTCGAACTAGTAAGGGAAGATATAAGAAGATATATATAATATAAAGGAAGTCTATATTATTTAACCAAACTTTGGTAAGGAATATTAAGTATACTAAATTCAAGAAAGTACCTAGTTATTTCTACTATATAACCTTCATATAGTGTCATTTTAAAAGTATTCTTCTTCTTTTATATTAGATGTTAAGAATTTATACTACCATTAAATTAACTAAGTTAGACTTATACTATATATTCGTACACTTTCTATTACTTTAGCTAATTCGAGTGCTAAGAAAATGCATGTTATGTTTACGGGGTGTCTAGGTACCTTTTGTATTGGAAAGTCATACAAAAGATACATAATTTACAAATATGGTATCTGGTGAAAAATGGGTATCTGCTGGGGCGCACCAACAACCGGAAGGTTGTTGGGCGCCTGGCACGGCTACTATAACAACAGTACTTTAAGAAAAGGTAAATCATATTCACACGAAGTAAAACTCTGGATAATCAAACACCACACAGGCAAAGAAAAAAGAAATAATGCGATCTCATCCTCGACCAAAATCAGCAAGTCGAGATGAAAAGAAACGAAACAAAGGCCACACTTCACTTCAATCATCACGCCACATCAAGGACACCAGTCGGGGGATAGAAACAAGACAAGAACGCTAGCAAGCGGGAAAAGATGACATGACATGACATGAGCAGGCAATTTGTCTATGGCACAGATAATCGAAGTCTCAGAGCAGGGTATCAAAGGCGGTGCGCATATTGCAAGAGGGCAAGAGGAAACAGGTGCGGGTTTGGTGCAAATACACATGCTTCGATGGGATGGGGTTGCCTTGGATTGTTTATTCATGATACATGGGCGCGCGCAAATGGGAAGCAGGAGTTGGGGAGATGGGGGAAATAGATATGGACCAAACATTGGACATTCAAACAAAGTAGTAGGGGAATGGGGGTCATTAAGGGGTCATCATCACGGAGTGCTCGGTACGCTCCTTCATTCGCATGGCTTGGGCTTCCAGAGAGCGGGCCATCAGTTTCGTCACTGTGGATGGATGTTAGAGTGGCTCTGGTTTGTGGAGGCTTCGGGGATCGCTGAAACTAACCTGGCCAGACAGCAGCTCGTTCCAAGATACTGGCTGTCGCAATCAATATTTTACATCCGTATCCTCCTTCCACAAGACTGGGTAGCCGTTGCACGACACTCAGCGTGGAAATGGAATTGCCATTTTGGAACTGGCGCTGCATTTTCATCTCAATACTCCCCAGGATGTCCTTGATCTTATCCACCAGCTTGCAATCCTCGTCTTCTAATAGCATGACTCCGGGTACTTGAGTCAAGTCGACATCGTCGCGACCAAGGATACCAAGGTAGGGGCCCACCCGTTCTTGAACAGTGGTAATCCACTCCGCCAGCACCTGTGCACAATCGAAAGCACACAACGCGCACTGGATTGGTAGTTCGCGCGAGGAAAACTCGGCGAATGTGTTACCAAGACGATCCGACATAGAGATGGAATCCGCTGCGTAGAACGCTGCCTTGCGCAGATGCTTTTCACGCTTAGATTGGCCGATCTTGTACATGTTGGCGAGAGTCTGCATGGACTCGTCTTGCGTCGGTGTCTTGGAGATGGCTAGATCTGATACTCCTAGATCGGCGATGGAGTCTCGTCTCGTGTCAATGTGACCCGTGAGAGAAGGATCGACCACGTCGTTCATTGCAGCATCTGGGTGCTGGAATATCTCAGTGCCTCGTGCGAGCTCATCCGCCATGCCATTCCAATCGCGTTGCCAGAATGCCTCTTTGCATCGGCCTAGGTTGACGAATAAACGAATATAGGCCAAATCTAGAAGGGGGATGCTGTCTGCAGACAGAGGTCCAGCCCCGAACGGATTCGGTCGCTCCAGGCTGTGGACTGGGTTGCTAGCCCATGCGGCTTGCCATGCCCGTAGAGCGGGCTCGATGTGAGATTGCATAGCATCAGTCTCCTGGGCTGTCCATTGTCGGCCCATGTGCCTTTGGCGAGTTTCCCATATATAGTTGTGAAGCGAGTAGATGAGTACCAAACAGCCGAAAGTACTAGGGCGGTTTTCGGAATTAGACAGATCGTCGTTGTAGAACAGGTTTGCCGATTGACTCTGCTCTCGTTGGCTGGCAGTCAGAAGAGACGTTAAAGCAGCGGAAAACGACAAAGTCTTCTTCGAGGCTGTTTGACCCCCCATCTGCTTCCACGCCTGGGGTGATTCGGCCGCCCATAGATCCTCTTCACAGGGAAGGTCAAGACGAATTTCCGAATTTGTGAGTGCAGGCGCGTGGTTGTAGGCAGAGACGAGAAAGCTGGACAGAACAAAGATAGCGTAGAGGGTACGTTTCCGCTCCTCTACAATCTTCCAATCCAGCCAATCTCGGCGCTCTTTCGGTTGGTTAAATGACGAAGACATCCCGTTTTCCGAGGCACCGGGAGAATCATTTTCGTTGTCACCAGCGGTGATATGATCTTGCGGCAGGTTCTTGGGGTCCAGGTGGTGTGTTAATTCGGCTGCGCGTGCTAGGCTGACCAAGGCAGCACAGTGCGTGCTAGCAATGTCTGCGGATGTCTTGTCACCACAGGTGTGGCCATATATCACGTTCAAGAGCATTGCCTGTACCAGCCAAAGCGGAGTGTTGTGTACGGAGCTATCGCGGGAGGAATTTGAACGACTGAGAGCAGCAGACATATCGGCCTTTCGTCGCTCTTCGAGATACAACTGGATCATCTTTTTCGCGGCGTCGAAGAGGTCCTTGGAGGCGGCAGATTCGTATTCGTACAGTGCACCGATAGCCGCCATGGAGAGGATTAGACAACCCCCACCTCCAGCGACGCCGGTGGAGCTAAGATTGAGGTGTCCGCTTGGTGTGCGTAGATTGTTCGTGTATTGGGGAGCTTGGAAATTGAGGGTGGGGATATGGAGAAACGGGATGTGAGGATGGAAGTAGGTGATGTAGGCCGAGATGTAGCGCTGCAAGTCCGAGGTGCTGGGCAGTTGACTGGAGCTGTTGAAGCCAGTCGAGCGGGCGAACAACTCGCGAGTATTTAGAAGTCCACCTGCGGGTTGGGAATACTTGCGATGATTGAAGCCAGTGGGGGTCGACATGCTCGCTAGTAGAGCCTGTCGTGTGGAGTCTGTAAATGTATCCGTTGAGAGTGGTGAATGTTCATTTCGTAGGGCACTATTCGGGAAAGGAACGTTGAGAGGATTAGGAGATTCTCCGTTTGTTGCCAGAGAGGAAAACATACTCTGCGAATGTCCTCCCATGATGGGCTGGCCGACCGAGGTCATAGATGGAGGTGTGGCATACGTCTCAGAAAACGGATTCTGGGCCATTAAAGACTTAGGCGACACGGTCTCCGGGGGATACCCAAATCATTCAACGTCGTCGGGGAAAAATCGATCGCGAACTGGTTGGCAGGGTGGTGAGCGGGGAACGGGTTGTGCCAACCGTTGGAGATGGGAATGCGATTCGGGCCCTCCAGCATGGCCTCGCTGATTCCGCTCTGGCTACCCGTGCTCATTGCCGATGGCGAGGACTCGTCAATAACCGAGTCGTTGCCATTTCCCATAGCCACACCTGTGTCAAACCCGTTCATCCAGTCAAAGTGCATCTCTTCATCCATGATCGGATCCGCAGGTGGAAGTCCACTGTGGTACTGACGGAAAGGAGACGAGGGCGAATCGTTGAAGCCTTGTGGGGATCCTGCGAAGTGTAATTGCGCCGGGTTGATGGTGCTACCATGACCCATCAGCATGCCATCGATGCCCGTATCAAAGCTCCCATACACGGGAGCAGTCCGAAGTCCTCCGGACATATCCATAGGAAGTCCGGAAGTTTCGATCTTTGAAAGGCCGTTCATCGAAGGGTGTCCAGAGCCAAATCCTCTATAATCCATGCTTGAGCCAACTGAAGAACTAAGGCTAGGGTGGTATGCGTGACTCGATTGAGTGGGCGCAGATGACGGATTACCCGCACCAGGGATACCCAAGGCCGCTCCATCAACATGGCCTATTGTATTGGCCCTCGGGCGCATCGAAGAAGCTGAACTATTGGCAATGGAGTTCTTGCGAACCCGGTTAGCACCGGGTGCGGCGCCGGTACTTTCACGGCGACCGTTTCTCGGTCGAGAAGACGGCGTGGTGGTCATGTGTAGCTTCTGCTGGTGTCGCAGAAGCAGATCGCGCCGAGCAAAGCACCGGGCGCAGTCCGGACACTCAAATGGCTTTTCCTTTGTGTGTGAGCGCTCATGGCGCTTGAGGTGCTCCAATCGCGCAAACGAGCGACCGCAGGTGGTGCAGACGTGGGGCCGAGGCTTGTCTGTTTTAGGGGGCGGAATGTTGCCATTGGCACCCGTTTGACCGTTTAGGTCGGTCTGCTTCTTCGAGTCCTTTGGAGCTACAGATATATGGGTAAGAATTGCACACAGGGAATTGTCTCATCCAAACTCACCAGGCATATTTCCCGGAATTTCGTGGATACTGGTGAGGTCCACCACTTTTGGGCTATGGTCCCGATCTTGTCCGACCATACCATCCAATAGCATTCTAGTCTTCAGAAACTCCTCACAGACCAGAGTGTTGACTACTGGTCGAGGTGGGAGGGAGTTTGCGACGTGCGGGAAATTGCTGAGGAAGAGAGGTTGCGTCAATCTTATGATTGACCGAAGATCGCGTCTGCACAATATTTGAACTTTCAAATCTGTACAATGTGCCGTATCAACGACTGTTCCATCCAAATGACATCAAGTCAGCATGTGTCTCATATGATGCGTAGAGGGTGCTATCACGACCCAAGGTACTGAGGCAGTCTATCAGGAACCTTGCCGTAAGATAGATGAACGGGACCCACCAATAAGAGAAATGAATCTATAGTTGGCCTATCGAAGGATTCGCCGTGTGTCTGGAAAGACGGGTTGAATGGGTTTCGATTAAGCGCAGGATATAGGGACCTGAGACTGGTATGCTGGGACCGGTATGGGGGTATGGGGGGCCTAGCGTTGACGTCTGTTGTGAGGGTCGGAGACATCAGCGAACCGGACTAACATGGATTATGCTTGGACATAGCATGATCAGATCACTCACATCAGACTAGCAGAGCTAGATCAAGTGACTTTATATGCTTTAAACTCGGGCATCCATTGAGGGAATTGATCTCGCAAGTTGGGAGGAGTAGGATAAGCCGGAGATAACCGATGGAGTACAGATAGGCAATTGTCGATAAGCAAGAGAAACCACAACCAGACTGGGGAAGCGAAGTTGGTGAAAGGAAGAAGATGATAGGAGAGGTGAAGTAGTTGGGAAGTTCGAAATTGCCTCCGAAGGTTGGAGTATTGAGTCGTTCTACAGCAGAGCGAGGTACCTGGGTCAGGGTACTTACATCTGTTGGGTAGTGGCAGTAGTGACGGGTAGAGAGGAACCGGGAAAGTAGGTGGAAAGTACTATGGAGGTACCCAGGATAAGAGGGTCCGAGGACAAAGGTACACCGAAGGTACATAGGAGGCAACTACCAACCAGGGCGATATCAGGCCCAGACAATCAGACAGCAGGCGAGCGACAGACAAGCCAGCAGACGGTACCGATACAGAGCGCAAATGGTGGATCCCAGACACACGGGCTGACCGTGTCTGCCAATGATGCCCCCACGATTAACTAGGGTGATACCGAATGCGGCATAGACTAAATCTTATAGACACGCACGTTCTACTGGACGCCCACCAGTTCCTAGCTCTGGCTCTGGTTATCAACGAGACTCATTGGTCTCCACGTAGTTGCCCTTTTAGGATTAGCCACGTAACGCCAGATTTCACTAGTATTGTGTCATTTTAGGTATTTTATCCGTTGAAAACCTCCATGAACCAGTATAATACTATTGTGGAATGCAATTGAAGAATGCTTTTATTTTATTTCAGAAAAGAATTCAGGGATTTGGGGTTACATTAATTAAAGGGAAGAAACTTATGATTGAACTGGTATGGTGTATATTGAGGCACTCGGTACTCGTATGTAAAGAATACACGGCTGAACTAACCAAATTGTTGCTCAGGTGGATACATGTATCGGTTTAATAAATGATTTACTAGTGCTCCGTACTCCGTACTCCGTATTTCATATTCTCTAAGCCCTGGAAGTATCGGAGTGGGCCCGAGAGTTACAGATAATAACACACTCCATACAGGTTTATAATATTGGTAATATACGATATAGGACCTCATGACATGTTTTATCTTTTTATTTATTTTTATTTTTATTTTTATTCTAACACATTTTCAAGGCTCCCATTAATGTAGGAAAACCAAATTCCAAAAATCCCGGGGGCGGAGGGTCCGGGACTGATTAAGCGGAACGATCCGCAAAAGAATAGGCCATGCGCCATTTTTGTGGGGGAGAGAGTCAAAAAAAAGGGTTCGTGTGGGGGATTTCCCAACCTCAGAACATACGAAATCGAACATACTATTCTACAATTGGACGTGCCGCTAAAGGATATCCTCCGGTTCCTTATTGCACATGGTCTAAAGTGGCGAGGTGATGTAATTTGAAATATAGGGGGATGTCCCTTTTTTTTTTTTTTTTTCTTTCTCGGTTCTTGGCTCCCCCAGATTAATTTGCTTTCCCCGGAATCTGCCCCTCGAGCGTTTTCTAGAATCCCCATCCCGTCATTGTATGGACCTCGGGACTCACTGCACACGTTGCGCCACGCCGTTTTGAGTTTGGGTCGCACGGAACGAAGGATGGATACTCTATACTCTCGCCCATTGGGCATACAGCCGACCATCGGATCGGTGATCTGGGGTTTATGCCAAGGTGGTGATCCAGTATTTCGGTGCTGACACAGCCTTTAGATCCTTCCAATACTCCGTTGACTTGAATGCAGACAAAGAGGAAAGTGGTCACACGGTAATAAATGCTCCTTTGTCAACTTTCCCTAAGGTCTCTTTTTTTTCTTCTGAACCTCGCGGTGTCTGGAGTACTGGAGTAGAATGTAGACTCATAGGTCGGTCACACGGACATCTCCTTTGCAGAATCCCCCGGACTTGACAATGCACTAGTCAAACTAGCACACTAGAGCGAGTCTAAGAAAGCTACAGGTGACCCGAGATGAGTCAAGGGTGGTCGAGCGACAAATGGAACAACAGTGTTGCAAGCCACTCTCCCCAGCTTTGACGCAGTGAGCTAACTCTAAGCTGTGTTGATGCTGGGGTTGATCCGGCTGTTAGGATGGCACTGGCCAATCCCTTAGATGGACAGGGAAATAAGCTGCAACTCAAGGGTTTGAGTTTCCCCTTGAGAGCATTGGTGTACCTCAGACATCCGACCAGTTTCTAATAATCTGCATGCGTCCATGCACGCTCAGATAAAAATGTATTTTGGTCATATCAATATAATTGCCGTTAAACCCCCCCCATTAGCAACACATCCGACATTTCCGACAGTCACCGAGTATACCCATTGAGTATGCTCCAAAAGCCTGAAAAATTAACCAAGGGCGATTTGATTCTAGCAAAGACATGTCTCACCTAGGAATTTGATGCATCGTACAACACTCAACCCCAAACACAGTTCACCGGTGTTGAACACAGCCAATACGATGTTACGCAATCCAAGGCCGTTCATAAATACCATCTAGTCTAAATAGACAAATTTCAAGCCTAGGAAACAGCCTTACCCTGATATCCACCAGCTCCGACCAATCTCCTGATGCAGGTCCAACACATTGAAGAAGTCATGGCTTTGTCACGAGCTTGGGCACCAGCACTTCAGGGGCAGACGCCACTGACCCCAATCATGCAATGATACTGTACACTTAGGCACTCCACTAGACAGTACATTGTATACCAACCAACAGGGACACCCCTGGATGAGCGCTAACCATACATCGAGCGCCGAGTCCATCAAACGTTATTGCGTAACCGCGCTTCGCGGATGATCTCTATACGATATGTGCGACGCGTGTTAAGTATCAAGATAGGTGTATATGTACGCCTTTTCCAACCTGTGATGGCTTACGTAGTAATATTCAAGACAATAAATTACAGATGAAACACCGTCTCAGGCAATGTCTATTAAAAATAACCCCATAAATTCTCCGAAGCGCCCACATCCTAGCCCTGCGTGTCACGGGGGGGATAGTGGTCAGTGCTGTCATCAACGCGGGATGGCGGAGTTTATACCCCCCTGATCGGACTTTTCGCCGTGCCTTTTTGTTTTTGTTTTTACCGGGTATCACTACCCGAGTGTGTCCGTTGATTATCTGTGAAGAATACACTATATTGCACTGAGATAAGGTGTCATCACTTGCACTCGCTTAGACCTTCATAGTCTACAACATATATCTATGTATAGCAAGCCGGACCTACCATATTTGTAACTTTTCATGATTTCATGTGCATCTTCGTTCGTTAATAATCAAAAAATACATAATAAAGAGGCACTAATCCAACTACAACTGCTCCCCATTGTCATTCCAGACCAAGCGGCAAAAGACAAAAGACGTGGGGTGACAGCACCAAATCACGGATGATCAGCGCCGGTGGCATCGAGAGAGGACCCAAGGCGTGAATAACGGCAATTGACCAAAAATCATGCCGGTCAAGACCAAAAACATTGTCGTACACGATCAACTGGCCAACCACATATTAATTTGAAACATGCAATCGCAATCCATGCAATAACAATCCATAGCAAGAGAGTGGATAGTGGATAGCGGATACGGAGACTAGTGGAGCTCCCGCAAGCTCCCATAGAGAATAATACAAGCGACAATTACATATTCTTGTCCGTGCAGTTCTCGGCCGTGTACCTAGATAACATAGATATGGGACTATTATTCCAGACATTATCATTATGACTATTGTCTATATTAGCGATAACAAATAATACCTTACAGCTATCAAAGACGAGTTTGTATATTGTGCTCCGTGCTAGCGTGATATCGTACGAGGTATCAATACTACATCGGATGCAGATCGCAACAGCTATTATGCAGTAGTAATAGTCGGAAAAGAATTTCCCAGCGCATGGACAGACGCTCAAGCTTGTAATCTAACTGGATAGCCCAAGTCCCTGCGTGGATGATCAAAGTTTAGTGTGGGTATAAGGTCGGATCATCCAGAATGAGAGCCGCCAATTGTACAGCTGGATTAGCGTGTTCGGACCTACCCAGGAACAGTGCTTTTTTTTTTCAAGGAAATGAGAAGCATTTGTGGCGAGTACTGGAGTTTATCCAGCGCTAAGATCAGACATGAAGAATATTTATGTTTTAGGTATTATTTAGTATGGAGCTTACGGAGTACCCAGTCCGGTGTGCACCGATGTACATCAAATGTAACATTATATGTCACGTTATAGCAAGATAGGATGTGGACTAGACACCCTTGTACTTGGAGTCATATGCTTCTTTTCAATACATACAGATGTACGATGTATGATATACGTACCTTTCCAAGGTTACTATTAAATT